TATACACATATACAGTACCAGTCAAAAGTTTGGACACACCCACTCATTATAGGCTTTTTCTTTATTTTTACTATTTTCTACATTGTAGAATAATAGTGAAGACTTAATAACACATATGGAATCATGTAGTAACCAAAAAAGTTGTCACGGATCCCCCCGGTACTGCTGCTCATTCCATTCACCAGTTCCTGAGGTGTATGTCACCGGCCTTCTAGGCGTCACAGACCTGGTTCATTACCACCAACCCCGGACTGTCTTGTCTCATTACGCACACCTGGTTCCCATTCCCCCTGATTAGTATGTGTATATATGTGCCCTCTGTTCCCCATTGTCCTTGTCGATTATTGTCCCATGTCCATTGGTCTCGTGAGTACCGTGTATTGTGCTCTTGTTATTACGGGTCTCGTCCCGTGTATTGTTTAGAGGTTCACACCTCACTCTTTTGTTTGGGTTACATCCCTGTGATTTATACAGTTGAAGTCGGAAGTTTACATACACCTTAGCCAAATACATTTACATTCAGTTTTTCACAATTCCTGACATTTAACCCTAGTAAAAATTCCCTGTCTTAGGTCAGTTAGGATCACCACTTTTTTAAGAATGTGAAATGTCAGAATAATAGTAGAGAGAATGATTTATTTCAGCTTTTATTTCTTTCATCACATTCCCAATGGGTCAGAAGTTTATATACACTCAATTAGTATTTGGTAGCATTGCCTTTAAATTGTTTAACTTGGGTCAAACGTTTCGGGTAGCCTTCCACAAGCTTCCCACACTAAGTTGGGTGAATTTTGGCCCATTCCTCCTGACAGAGCTGGTGTAACTGAGTCAGGTTTGTAGGCCTCCTTGCTCGCACACGCTTTTTCAGTTCTGCCCACAAATGTTCTATAGGATTGAGGTCAGGGCTTTGTGATGGCCACTCCAATACCTTGACTTTGTTGTCCTTAATTAGATGTCCTAACCGACTTGCCAAAACTATAGTTTGTTAACAAGACATTTGTGGAGTGGTTGAAAAACGAGTTTTAATGACTCCAACCTAAGTGTATGTAAACTTCCGACAGTAAACTTCCGACAGTTGAAGTCAGAAGTTTACATACACTTAAGTTGGAGTCATTAAAACTCGTTTTTCAACCACTCCACACATTTCTTGTTAACAAACTATAGTTTTGGCAAGTCGGCTAGGACATCTACTTTGTGCATGACACAAGTAATTTTTCCAACAATTGTTTACGGACAGATTATTTCACTTATAATTCACTGTATCACAATTCCAGTGGGTCAGAAGTTTACATAAACTAAGTTGACTGTGCCTTTAAACAGCTTGGAAAATTCCAGAAAATGATGTCATGGCTTTAGAAGCTTCTGATAGGCTAATTGACATCATTTGAGTCAATTGGAGGTGTACCTGTGGATATATTTCAAGGCCTACCTTCAAACTCAGTATCTCTTTGCTTGACATCATGGGACAATGAAAAGAAATCAGCCAAGACCTCAGAAAAAAAAGTTGTAGACCTCCACAAGTCTGGTTCATCCTTGGGAGCAATTTCCAAACGCCTGAAGGTACCACGTTCATCTGTACAAACAATAGTACGCAAGTATAAACACCATGGGACCATGCAGCCGTCATACCGCTCAGGAAGGAGATGTGTTCTGTCTCTTAGAGATTAACGTACTTTGGTGCGAAAAGTGCAAATCAATCCCAGCAAAGGACCTTGTGAAGATGCTGGAGGAAACAGGTACAAAAGCATCTATATTCACAGTAAAACGAGTCCTATATCGACATAACCTGAAAGGTAAACAATTTAAAGGTAATGCTACCAAATAGTAATTGAGTGTATGTAATCTTCTGACCCACTGGGAATGTGATGAAAGAAATAAAAGCTGAAATAAATCATTCTCTCTACTATTATTCTGTCATTTCACATTCTTAAGATAAAGTGGTGTCAAGGAATTGTGAAAAACTGAGTTTAAATGTATTTGGCTAAGGTGTATGTAAACTTCCGACTTCAACTGTACGTGTTAGTTTTGGGCTTCGTCCCCGTATTTTTTTCATAAAGTACCTTGTGTTGGGTGGAGTAAATAAAACCCCTAATACGTATTCCTGCGCCTGTCTTCTAATCATTACACAACATGACAGAATAATCGACCCTATAAAATGGAGACTGCGGGAAAGTATGAAAAAGAAAATGTATGCACTCACTAACTGTAAAGTCGCTCTGGATAAGAGCGTCTGCTAAATGACTAAAATGTAAATGTAATGAAAGGCCGAGCTGGCGACCATCATCGTAGAGACAGTCCAGAATCACGAGGACTGTTTCTCCAGACTCAGCAGAGCCATGGACAGCATGCTGGCAACCATCCTGCAGTTGGATGGGAAAGTTCAGCCCTTCAGTCTCGAGCAACGGTTCCTACACCATCCCCCCCACCACCACTACCTGCCTCCGTCCCAACTGAGCCGGTCCATGGAATACCCCTGTCCCTCCCAGAGTGCTTTGATGGCGCGCCAGCGAGATGCAAGTGTTTCCTTCTGCAATTCGACCTGTACCTTGCTCGCTACGCCGAGGCTGTCTCCGGGAGAGACCGCATTGCCACAGTCATCTCGGCACTGACCGGACGGGCCCTGGACTGGGGTGCCGCGGTCTGGGAAATGGGCGGACCCGAGGTCGAGTCCTACGAGCGCTTCACCTTCCTCTTCTGCTCGGTGTTTGATCATCCTGTGGAGGGCGGAGATGGGGGTGAGCGTCTACTCCGACTATGCCAGGGATCTAGGACCATCGCGGGGACTGTGCCATTGACCTGCTGTCTGACGCAGTCCTCCCGAGAGGACACGTCTATCCCCTCTCCTACGCGGAGACCGAGGCCATGGAGACCTACGTACAGGAGAGCCTCCAGCTCGAATGAACAAATTGTCTGTCGGCATTTATAAAATTGCACAGGCATTTCATATTTCCATCAGCCTGTTCGTGACTTCTTTCATGCGTCAGGTAATTCATCTGCATGAAATGGTTGGATGGAAACGGGGTTATTGTCTGAAATAAATGTACATTTACATTTACATTTTAGTCATTTAGCAGACGCTCTTACCCAGAGCAACTTACAGTTAGTGAGTGCATACATTTTCATACTGGCCCCCCGTGGGAAACGAACCCACAACCCTGGCGTTGCAAGCGCCATGCTCTACCAACTGACATTTCAGCTTTTCATTTTTTATTAATTTGTAAAAATGTCTAAAAACATAATTCCACTTCGACATTATGGGGTGTTGTGTGACGGCCACTGACCAAAAATCTCAATTGAATCCATTTTAAATTCAGGCTGTAATGCACTAACATTTCTTCAAATAGCCACCCTTTGCCTTTATGACAGCTTTGCACACTCTTGGCATTCTCTCAACCAGCTTCAACTGGAATGCTTTTCCAACAGTCTTGAAGGAGTTCCTACATATGCTGAACACTTGTTGGCTGCTTTTCCTTCACTCTGCCGTCTGACTTAACCCAAACCATCTCAATTGGGTTGAGGTCGGGGGATTGTGGAGGCCAGGTCATCTGATGCAGCACTCCATCACTCTGCTTCTTGGTAAAATAGCCCTTACACAGCCTGGAGGTGTGTTGGGTCATTGTCCTGTTGAAAAACAAATGACAGTCCCACTAAGCCCAAACCAGATGGGATGGCGTATCACTGCAGAATGCTGTGTTAGCCATGCTGGTTAAGTGTGCCTTGAATTCTAAATAAATCACAGACAGCGTCACCAGCAAAGCACCCCCACAACATAACACCTCCTCCTCCATGCTTTACGGTGGGAACTACACATGCGAAGATCATCTGTTCACCCACACCGCGTCTCAAAAAGACACGGCGGTTGGAACCAAAAATCTCAAATTTGGACTCCAGACCAAAGGACACATTTCCATCGGTCTAATGTCCATTGCTCGTGTTTCTTGGCCCAAGCAGGTCTCTTCTTCTTATTGGTGTCCTTTAGTAGTGGTTTCTTTGCAGCAATTCGACCATGAAGGCCGGATTCACACAGTCCCCTCTGAACAGTTGATGTTGAGATGTGTCTGTGACTTGAACTCTGTGAAGCATTTATTTTGGCTGCAATTTCTGAGGCTGGTAACTCTAATGAACTTATCCTCTGCAGCAGAGGTAACTCTGGGTCTTCCATTCCTGTGTCGGTCCTCATGAGAGCCAGTTTCATCATAGCGCTTGATGGTTTTTGCGAATGCACTTGAAGAAACTTTCAAAGTTCTTAAACTTTTCCAGATTGACTGACCTTCATGTCTTAAAGTAATGATAGACTGTCGTTTCTCTTTGCTTATTTTAGCTGTTCTTGCCATAATATGGACTTGGTCTTTTACCAAATAGGGCTATCTTCTGTATACCCCCCATACCTTGTCACAACACAACTGATTGGCTCAAACACATTAAGAAGGAAAGAAATTCCACAAATTAACTTTTAAGAAGGCACACCTGTTAATTGAAATGCATTCCCGGTGACTACCTCATGAAGCTGATTGAGAGAATGCCAAGAGTGTGCAAAGCTGTCATCAAAGCAAAGGGTGGCTGTTTGAAGAATCTCAAATATTAAATATATTTTGATTTGTTTAACACTTTTTTGGTTACTACATGATTCCATATGTGTAATTTCATAGTTTTGATGTCTTCACTATTATTCTACAATGTAAAAAATAGTACAAATAAAGAACAACCCTAGAATGAGTAAGTGTGTCCAAACATTTGACTGGTAGTGTATATTTGATTTTAAAAATGTATTCTTCAGATCTCCATTCTCCACATTCTTTGTCATGACCTCAAACAAATATTGAGTCAAAAACTGTTGTGGACTTTTTGGGGCATTTTATCTAACTCACAGAAAAAGTACCCTGTGAAACGTTTTTGGAACAATCACTAATTTCTCCTATGAAAAATAATTCTAACCACCTTCATACCATGTTATGGATAACTTGCCAGGCGGGAATAAAACCAATTTACCCACAACAAAGAGTCCCACCAGGAGGAGCAGGAGCAGGAGGAGGAGGAGAAGATGAAGAAGAGTGAGACAATCACGGTGTGTGTGTGTAGTCATAATAATAATAATAATAATAATAATAATAATAATAATAATACCTTTCATTTGTATAGCGCTTTTCATTACATAAATAATTAAAAGCTCTAAAATGAGCATGCTTTTGTGGCACAGTCGATGCCGTGCAGGGCTTCAGGTCAGAAGGTTGAGGGTTTGCCGACCACCGCGGGCTCACCTTCCCTGCCTTTTTCATTACACTTCACCTTTTTACTAATATAATGACTTCAATAGATCATAGATGACAGAACTACAATGTCCAGAACAGAGGATCAAGTTCTCAAGTTATTCTGTATATTTTTCCAAACTCACAGCCATTGCTTACGCCAAATAAACATATAATAATCACAAAATATATGTATCTCACTGTCTGGACGTTATGGATCTAATTTATTTCTCTGTCACACATGCACACACCAGACCTGGGTTCAAATACTATTTAGGGTATTTCAATGACTTTGAAGTAAGTATTTTGATATTTTTTCTTTGAAAATACAAGTATTTTGTAAATAGTAGGCTATTTATAGGAAGTTATTTGCAAATACTTTCAAATACTTTAAATAGAAGTAGTTGATTTCAGAGACATTATTTAAAAATACTAAAATACAAAGAAAATAAGTATTTTATTAACAAATACTGAAAAGGTATTTGAAACCAGTTCTGGCACTAGCAGCTTCACTGGAAGAGCCAGTTAGTACCCCCCCCCCGTTGTAGAAACTCCCCATCCCCCTACAAAGACACACACACACACAAAGGGTTATCATTACGGTTTTGGAAATACAAACCAGTGAGAGCGATTCTCATTGGCAGCAACAGTACAATGCAAATAAAACGATATAGTACTGTACTGTATTTCTCTTGTGCACACCTTTACATCAGGAATCTTTATTGTCATAATATTCACACACGTATTTATCAAGCCACTGCATAGCTCAACCTATGAGAATAACAATTAAAGACTATTTAGAACTGTAAGTAAAGCAGTGGTTTCTAAAATTTGAAGCAGAAAGGTTGTTGGATGACAATGAAGTAGTTAGCACTAGCCAAAATAAACACAAGCATAATGCACATGCACGCATGCCCGCCTCCCCGGTGCCCGCCAAAACCAATTCAAAAACTGGTAAAAACATTATGTCAAAACATGATTTGTCATATCAGCCCTTTACTTTTCCATAACATGCCTCTGTAGTCCAGAAGTCACGTACACCGCACGTATACTGGCACAGAGACATCATACCAAGATGGTGGTTGTTGTTGCCAGGTAGCAAACAGGCACATGCCACTGTAGTCATACTCTTGACCATCTCCTGACTGTGACACATAGCTAAGAAATTTGAAGTGTTCACCTAGCTGGGTGTTTCAAAGCTTGACATTCTTTATTGTAACATCCGGTGTCAAACAAACCTGCCTTGTTTCCCTGTTGTGTATTAGTAGAGCATCCTATTATGTTTGTTTTGTCTTCATAGTAAAATATCCTTCTGTGACCAGTGTAAAATACACAATGCTTGAATGTTACCATTTAGGCCTATAAGCTTAATATTTTTGATAAACAACCTGGAGTGGATCCCTAGCATTCTTGTAAACCACTCTTACTGCGAAGTTGCACAGTGTATACTCTATGGTATAATTTTAGCTCAGTGTCACCTCAGTGTGACTATCTCCTGATATGGTAGGAAATTCTAAGGTGATAGTCAGTCAGTGGGCTTGTAGTTGCTGTGCGGCGACATACCTAGGATATATTTGAATATTTGAATGACAGAAGATTTCAGTGACACCCAGATACTGTAAACCAGAAACCCCCTCCCTCTTTTCCCTCCCTCATTCCTTCCCCTCATCCCCACTCCCCTCCCATTCCCCCACCTGCTCCCTCCTCAAACACTTCCTATACTTTGCTTCTCATTCCAAACTTTCACAGTTCACACCTGGATTGCTTCACACTCTACTCTTACCTTTCAGAGGATGACAGAAGACCAGTTGAACCCTCCTCCCTTCGCCTCCTCCCTTTGCCCCCCATCCCAACCCAACTCTGACAGTATAAAATCCCAGGTCTAGGACCCATGCTTTACCACTCTGTTGACACTGCCAACTTTAAGTACACTAGACTTTTTAAAAGGATTCTTTCTGGGATCCAAACTCAATTCATCACTTTCGTCAAAATGAACAAAATCATTTTTGGAATCCTTGCAGTTGTTGCATCTTTTATGCTGGGTGAGTCTAATCGATAATCAATGCCACTCACTCACAAACAAAACTGAGGATGCAGTTTGCTTGGACAGTATTTGATTTCAGTGGTTATCATTTTAGGTCAGGGTCAATTTAGCTAAAGGTTTGTTAATCCAACAATTCCTCCTCCATAGGTTTCATCATGTGAGTTAAAGTGTTAATGCTATTCAGTTTAAAGGGATAGTTCACTTTTATTTTCGACTTATCCATGGTTGTCGTTTCATCCATAAAGTTTGTATTGAATTCGTTGGCTGGTAATATAGCAATGTCCAGCATCTCCAGGCAAAACATTTTTAAGCATGTAGCGATGCTAGTGTAAAAGGTAAGCATCGGCTAGTGGTGCATTCAACAGCATGGAGAGAGCAGGGGAGTGGGTTTGGAATGTAGAAGGTAGAAGGTAGAGACCACTTTCCCCATACTTTTGCTTGCAACCGCTAGGTGATTTTTCAAGAAAGTCTGAGATTACTACAAAACACTTGTAGAGACCAACAGAGAATAATGGAGACTAAAGAGATTAGTTTTAAATGATGAGAGAGGGATTTGTATGATCAATGCCATGTCTATGTTGTAATGGCATGGCATTTCAGTGATTTTCTTCTTTCATTGTATAGCACACCAAACAAGGGTGTGGTCTGTGGTCTTCAGATGTCTATGGCCACACATCAAAACTGAGTGTGGCCTTCAGTTCAACCACAGCAGGATTTGGTGATGACTATTGCTTTGGTGTTGGCATAGAATTCACATAATGTACAATAACAGAATATAACATAATAGAGTGAAGTAATGAATGTGTGCTCTCTCTCTCTCTCTCTCTCTCTCTCTCTCTCTCTCTCTCTCTCTCTCTCTCTCTCTCTCTCTCTCTCTCTCTCTCTCTCTCTCTCTCTCTACCCCCAACGATGAATGACTTAGTGACAAAACAATGGTCAGCCATTGTCTGTGAAGCCATGTGATCTAATTGTCTAACCCCACCCAACGTTTTGTGTTTCAGCCGAGTCCGCCTCAAAGTTTAGTCTTACATCCCTGACATGTAACAAATGTAGTGTGGGCTTGCTGGGTGTTTGCATGAACGCTGCTGATGAGGTCTGCATAACCAACAAAAGTAGCTGCTTCACTGGAAGAGCCAGTGAGTACCCTTCCCCTCCTCAACCACCCCCCCCCCCCACCTGAATGACCTACTTGGAAGAAACTACCCACCCCTGTACACAGATATACAGATGTGCACACACACACACACACACACACACACACACACACACACACACACACACACACACACACACACACACACACACACAAAGCATCATGTTCACTATCATTCTAACCCTCCTATCCTCTCTCTCTCTCTCTTTATCTCTCTCTCTCTCTAGCCTTCCCCTCTCTCACTTCTTTCGTAGGCTTCAACACCCAAGGCTGTCTGGAGAGCATTATGTGCAACACCACCACCAACGCCACCCTCCTGGGCGCCACTTACACCTCCGTCAAGACCTGCTGCGACTCCAACAAGTGCAACCCAGTCACGATTAGCGGCGCAACCTCTGCCAAGCTCTCTGTCACCACAGCTCTTGGCGCCGCCCTGGTGGCCTCCGTGTGGAGCATGCTGTACTAGAACTACTAGAGAAGGGTTTCCCAAACTCGGGCCTCGGGACCCCAAGTGGTGCATGTTTTGGTTTTTGCTTTAGCACTACACAGCTGATTCAAATAATCAACTAATAATCAAGCTTTGATCATTTGAATCAGCTGTGTAGTGTTAGGGCAAAAACCAAAACGTGCACACCTTGGGGTCTCGAGGACCGAGTTTGGGAAACGCTGAGCTAGAGAAAGTAGGAGACCAATTCTGATTCTGAAAAACTAGAAGACTGTCCCGGTTTGTTTTATTTACACTGCATGTCTAAACCATCTTGACTCATGTGTTGATGCTGTTGGATTCTAGCATGAAATATATACTTATTCATGTTAATATACTATAACTACTTTACATGTATAATGTTATTGTTAAATCTCATGGATCCTATGGAGAGGGCCAAAGGGTAACAGTCTGGTTTCAGCCACTGATAAGGTTGGATAGCCGTGGATTAGGGAGGGGTAGGGAATGTGGGCCGAGGTCAGGTCAGATGAAGTGACAAGGAACAGTTCTATTACACACACCACTAAGTTCCTGCCTAGCAACAGATATGTATTGGCTGTCTAGATGTGCAAGGAGGAGTTTCTGCCTAATAGGAGGGTATAAATACTTGTGCTGGTGGAAACATGTCTTTGTCTTTTCAGCTGTTTGACCCAGTGGGGGAATAAACTTGGACCTTTACTAGTTGTCTGTGAGTTTTATTCTGTTTGTTCAGAACCTAACAGTTGGCGTTGTCGACAGGATTCACCACGATTTACAGTCGAACTAAAGAGTCCAAATCAGTGAAACAGGAGCCGGCACCAAAACCAAGGTAGACACAGTTCCTACACCTGTTACCACTCATTCTGACATCTTGGGTAGATGAGAGTCGTAGGCTGAAACAATTATAGGATACGGACCTAGAAAGCCTGAGTTTATTCAGTAGTTCCATTGTGATACCACCTGTCATAAATCTATGGTGTAGGGTTGGTTCCGTAAGGATAGGTCCCGAGATCCATAGGTAAATCTATGGTGTAGGTTTGGTTCCGTAAGGATAGGTCCCGAGATCCATAGGAAAATCTATGGTGTAGGGTAGGTTCCGTTAGGATAGGTCCCTAGATCCATAGCTAACTACAGTGTAGGGTAGGTTCCGTGTAGGATAGGTCCCTAGTGGGGTTGTTCACCTGCGAGATCCGTAAGTGGGACGAAAGTCCCAGCCATGGTGTCCGTGAGGCAGTAGAGTGTGTGTGTAGTGATAAATTGTCATGCTTGTGTACTAGTACGAAAGGTTGTCGAGAAGTAGTCCATGTAGAAGGACAAAGGAAGGAAGTGCATACAGTGGAGAATAGGAGATATCTGAGAATATCTGTACTTAAAGATGAAACATTGTCAGTGAGTGGGAATGTGGATGGTGATAAAAGGCTGCCTACAAGTTCTGGAGGAGAGCCTCATCCATGGTTAGAAAAGCAAAAAGATATTCAAACGTTGTTTGAACATGATTTGAGTGTATTAGCAGTAGCAATAAGGAGAGAGGTTGGTTTATGCCCTATTGGGCCGGGGAACTGTGACAAGAACACAGTGGCCTCCATCATTCTTAAATGGAGGAAGTTTGAAACCACCAAGACTCTACCTAGAGCTGGCCACCCGGTCAAACTGAGCAATCAGGGAAGAAGGGCCTTGGTCAGGGAGGTGACCAAGAACCCAATGGTCACTCTGACAGTGCTCTAGAGTACCTCTGTGGAGATGGGATAACCTTCCAGAAGGACAACCATCTCTGCAGCACTCCACCAATCAGGCCTTTATGGTAGAGTGGCCAGACGGAAGCCACTCCTCAGTAAAAGGCACATGACAGCCTGCTTGGAGTTTTCCAAAAGGCACCTAAAAGACTCTCAGACCATGAGAAACAAGATTCTCTGGTCTGATGAAACCAAGATTGAAATCTTTACCCTGAATGACAAGCGTCATGTCTGGAGGAAACCTGGCACCATCTCTACGGTGAAGCATGGTGGTGGCAGCATCATGGTGTGGGGATGTTATTCAGCGGCATGGACTGGGAGACTAGTCAGGATCGAGGCAAAGATGAACAGAGCAAAGTACAGAGAGATCCTTGATGAAAACCTGCTCCAGAGCGCTCAGGACCTCAGACTAGGGCGAAGGTTCACCTCCCAACAGGACAACGACCCTAAGCACACAGCCAAGAGAACGCAGGAGTGGCTTCGGGACAAGTCTCTGAATGTCCTTGAGTGGCCCAGCCAGAGCCCAGACTTGAATCAGATTGAGAGACCTGAAAACAGCTGTGCAGCAACGCTCCCCATCCAACCTGACAAGCTTGAGAGGATCTGCAGAGAAGAATGAGAGAAACTCCCCAAATACAGGTGTGTCAAGCTTGTAGCGTCATACCTAAGAAGATTCGAGGCTGTAATCACTGCCAAAGGTGCTTCAACAAAGTACTGAGTAAAGGGTCAGAATATTTATGCAAATATAATATTTAAGTTTTTTATTTTGTATAAATGTGTAAAAATGTCTAAAACCTGTTTTTGCTTTGTCATTATTGGGTATTGTGTGTAGATTGATGAGGGGGAAAACAATTTAATCAATTTTAGAATAAGGCTGTAACGTAACAAAATGTGGAAAAAGTCCTGTGGTATGAATACTTTCCGAATGCACTGTATATCGATGTGTGCCCGATGCCGCCCGCCATCTCTGATTCTCCTCCGGGTGTGCAATATCAAGTGCGCCTATAGGCTATTTAGTGCGGTCTCAATTAAATGATCCATAGCCTATAGGCTATAGTCTACGAAGTCCATGCTCGGAGAATCACAGAGTAAAGTTATATTGCTAAGATAGCTGCTGGGATGGTGTAAATAAAACTAGGCTGCATTACACATGGCAATGGATATTCTTACCCTGAGTTCTGGCTTGCTCTGCTCTTGCTGATCAAAACTTTTTTGTGTGTGCTGCCTAACCAATGCTGTGCTGTGTAGGCCTACAGTTGCAGTTCAGGAGGAGAGTCAAAGGCTTCTTCTGAAAATATTTTTATATTAGGCCTAGTCCAAAAAATTCAATATTTTGCGGGCGGACTAGCCTGTAGCCTTTGTTCTGTTCAGTTTGAGAAGGAAAGCGCGAAGATGAGAAAGAGGACTACTATAATTGATTTTAATAAAAACAATATGTTTCTTGCCCATGGTGTATTTTTCAGAGTTATTGACCTCACAATAATCCAGATTCGTGTAACTGACATTGTGATGCTGAAACTTGAAGCAGCAGGCGTGGCATAATCAATCGGAAATGGACAACTCATGGTGCTGAAAGTAGGCAAATACGAGTAGGCATAATTCATTTCAACCATCTTCATTTTAATTAGACCTTACAATCAACAAGAGGGCTTTGTGTTGGAGCCTATTTCTTCCTATTTAAGAAATAAGAGGTAGGCCTACCTGTTAGTCAGACGCAATTAGGCTATAGGCCGCTATATCCATAGATTTGTCGGTCAATACCTCCACCCACCATGCACTCTTTAAATTGTATTTGTATTTATTTGTATTTATTTCACCTTTATTTAACCAGGTAAGCCAGTTGAGAACAAGTTCTCATTTACAACTGCGACCTGGCCAAGATAAAGCAAAGCAGTGTGATAAAAACAACAACACAGAGTTACGTATGGGGTAAAAAAACATAAAGTCAAAAAAAATAATACAACAGAAAATATATATACAGTGTGTGCAAATGTGGCAAGTTATGGAGGTAAGGCAATAAATAGGCTATAGTGCAAAATAATTACAATTAGTATTAACACTGGAATGCTAGATGTGCAAGAGATTATGTGCAAATAGAGATACTGGGGTGCAAAAGAGCAAAATAAATAACAATATAGGGATAAGGTAGTTGGGTGGCCTAATTTCAGATGGGCTGTGTACAGGTGCAGTGATCGGTAAGGTGCTCTGACAACTGATGCTTAAAGTTAGTGAGGGAGATAAGAGTCTCCAGTTTCAGAGATTTTTGCAATTCGTTCCAGTCATTGGCAGCAGAGAACTGGAAGGAATGGCGGCCAAAGGAGGTGTTGGCTTTGGGGATGACCAGTGAGATATACCTGCTGGAGCGCAGACTACGGGTGGGTGCTGCTATGGTGACCAATGAGCTAAGATAAGGCGGGGATTTGCCTAGCAGAGATTTATAGATGGCCTGGAGCCAGTGGGTTTGACGACGAACATGTAGTGAGGACCAGCCAACAAGAGCGTACAGGTCACAGTGGTGGGTAGTGTATGGGGCTTTGGAGACAAAACGGATGGCACTGTGATAGACTACATCCAATTTGCTGAGTAGAGTGTTGGAGGCTATTTTGTAAATGACATCGCCGAAGTCAAGGATCGGTAGGATAGTCAGTTTTACGAGGGCATGTTTGGCAGCATGAGTGAAGGAGGCTTTGTTGCAAAATAGGAAGCCGATTCTAGATTTAACTTTGGATTGGAGATTCTTAATGTGAGTCTGGAAGGAGAGTTTACAGTCTAACCAGACACCTAGGTATTTGTAGTTGTCCACATACTCTAGGTCAGACCCGTCGAGAGTAGTGATTCTAGTTGGGTGGGCGGGTGCCAGCAGCGTTCGATTGAAGAGCATGCATTTAGTTTTACTAGTGTTTAAGAGCAGTTGGAGGCTACTGAAGGAGTGTTGTATGGCATTGAAGCTCGTTTGGAGGTTTGTTAACACAGTGTCCAATGAAGGGCCAGATGTATACAAAATGGTGTCGTCTGCGTAGAGGTGGATCTGAGAGTCACCAGCAGCAAGAGCGACATCATTGATATACACGGAGAAAAGAGTCGGCCCAAGAATTGAACCCTGTGGCACCCCCATAGAGACTGCCATAGGTCCAGACAACAGGCCCTCCGATTTGACACATTGAACTCTATCTGAGAAGTAGTTGGTGAACCAGGCGAGGCAGTCATTTGAGAAACCAAGGCTATTTAGTCTGCCAATAAGAATGCGGTGGTTGACAGAGTCGAAAGCCTTGACCAGGTCGATGAAGACGGCTGCACAGTACTGTCTATTATCGATCGCGGTTATAATATCGTTTAGGACCTTGAGCGTGGCTGAAGTGGACCCATGACCAGCTCGGAAACCGGATTGCATAGCGGAGAAGGTACGGTGGGATTCGAAATGGTCGGTGATCTGTTTGTTAACTTGGCTTTCAAATACTTTCGAAAGGCAGGGCAGGATGGATATAGGTCTGTAACAGTTTGGATCTAGAGTGTCACCCCCTTTGAAGAGTGATGACCGTGGCAGCTTTCCAATCTCTGGGGATCTCAGACGTTACGAAAGAGAGGTTGAACAGGCTAGTAATAGGGGTTGCGACAATTTCGGCGGCTAGTTTTAGAAAGAAAGGGTCCAGATTGTCTAGCCCAGCTGATTTGTAGGGGTCCAGATTTTGCAGCTCTTTCAGAACATCAGCTGTCTGAATTTGTGTGAAGGAGAAGCGGGGGGGGGGGGGGGGGGGGGGGGGGGGGCATGGGCAAGTTGCAGCGGAGAGTGTTGAAATTCTCGATTATTGTAGATTTATCGGTGGTGATAGTGTTTCCTAGCCTCAGTGCAGTGGGCAGCTGGGAGGAAGTGCTCTTATTCTCCATGGACTTTACAGTGTCCCAAAACTTTTTGGAGTTAGTGCTACAGGATGCACATTTCTGTTTGAAAAAGTTAGCCTTTGCTTTCCTGACTGCTTGTGTATATTGGTTCCTAAATTCCCTGAAAAGTTGCATATCGCGGGGGCTATTTGATGCTAATGCAGTACGCCACAGGATGTTTTTGTGCTGGTCAAGGGCAGTCAAGTCTGAGGAGAACCAGGGGCTATATCTGTTCTTAGTTCTGTTTAAGATTGAGAGGAAATTACTTTTAAAGAACAACCAGGCATCCTCTACTGACGGAATGAGATCTATATCCATCCAGGATACCTGGGCCAGGTCAATTAGGAAGGCCTGCTCGCTAAAGTGTTTTAGGGAGCATTTGACAGTGATTAGGGGTGGTCGTTTGACCGCGGACCCGTTACGGACGCAGGCAATAAGGCAGTGATCGCTGAGATCCTGGTTGAAGACAGCGGAGGTGTATTTAGAGGGTAAGTTAGTCAGGATGATATCAATGAGGGTACCCATGTTTACGGATTTAGGGTTGTACCTGGTAGGTTCGTTGATAATTTGTGTGAGATTGAGGGCATCTAGTTTGGATTGTAGGATGGCCGGGGTGTTAAGCATATCCCAATTTAGGTCACCAAGCAGGACGAACTCTGAGGATAAATGGGGGGCAATCAATTCACATATGGTGTCCAGGGCACAGCTGGGGGCTGAGGGGGGGCTGTAGCAAGCGGCAACAGTGAGAGACTTATTTCTGGAAAGGTGGATTTTTAGAAGTAGGAGCTCAAACCGTTTGGGCACAGACCTGGATAGTATGATAGAGCTCTGCAGGCTATCTCTACAGTAGATTGCAACTCCACCCCCTTTGGCAGTTCTATCTAGACGGAAAATGTTATAGTTGGGGATGGACATTTCAGAATTTTTGGTGGCCTTCCTAAGCCAGGATTCAGACACTGCTAGAACATCAGGGTTGGTGGAGTGTGCTAACGCAGTGAATAACTCAAACTTAGGAAGTAGACTTCTGATATTAACATGCAAGAAACCAAGGCTTTTGCGATTACAGAAGTCAACAAATGATAGCGCCTGGGGAGTAGGAGTGATACTGAGGGCTGCAGGGCCTGGGTTAGCCTCTACATCACCAGAGGAACAGAGGAGGACTAGAATAAGGACACGGCTAAAGGCTTTAAGAACTGGTCTTCTAGTGCGTTGGGTACATAGAATAAAGGGGGCAGATTTCCGGGCGTTGTAGAAAAGATTCAGGGCATTATATACAGACAAGGATATGGAAGGATATGAGTAAAGTGGAGGTAAACCTAAGCGTTGGGTAACAATGAAAGAGATAGCATCACTGGAGGCACCAATTGAGTCGGTCTCCGCGTGTATGGGGGGTGGAACAAAGGAGCTATCTAAGGCAGGTTTAGCTGGGCTGGGGGATCTACAGTGAAATAGTACAATTAGAAATAACCGAAACAACAATAAGCTAACCATATTGACATGGGAGAGAGGCATAAAGCAATCACAGGTGTAATTTGAGAGAGCTAAGACAACAGCTGGTAATGACGACACAGTTTGGGCTGAGGCTTAACATAAACAGGATGCGGTACCGTAAAAAGGAACAGTCCAGCATGCATCAGCTGTATAGCTGAGTTATCATAAGGTCCGGTGAACAGCAATAGGATAGTTCGGAGGTAGTTCGGGGGCTGCTAAAGCACTAGCGAGCAAGAGGCCACGGCTAGCGTGTGCTAGCGGGCCGGGGCTAGCAGATGGAATCTTCGTGTTCGACGTCGTTACGGGAAGCCTGTTGTAACCACATCAGACGATTTCGTCGGCAGACCAGCCGTGTAGGATCGGCGGGGCTCCGTGTCAACACTAGGTGGTCCCGTCCGGTTGACAGAGAGGTAGATAGCCGGGAGATGGGCCTAGCTCAGGATGATTAGCCAAACCACAACGTCCATTTTGTTGCAGCTAGCTGGTAGCGATGAATCCGGAGTTAAAGGTCCAGTGATTCAGTGATTCCGGCAGAAAAACTGATATGTTCTGGGTCGATAACGCGCTGTGCAGACAATGCAGACTGGCCAAATAATAGTCCAGGCTAGAGCTGGCTGGTAGGTGGTGCAGGCCACGGACAATGGTGAAAAACCGTTAACGGTAGCTGATAGCAAGTAGCTAGTTAGCTGGCTACTCCCGTCCGGTAGACCGAGAGGTAGATAGCCGGGATATGGGCCTGGCTCTAGGCTAGCTCGAGGCTAACTGGTGCTTGCATCGGGGCAGTGGTGATTAGCCAAACAGCAACATCCATTCGGTTGCGGCTAGCTAGTTGCGATCCGGTGATTAATGTCCAGTGATTAAATTATTCCGGCAGAAAATCCAATGTTCTGGGTGAAATACCGCTAACTGTGGCTAATAGCAAGTAGATAGTTAGCTGGGTAGCTAGTTTCAACTGGAGATTCTAGATAAAGGTAAGTCAATAATAGAATCCGTTCCACATTGAGTGAGGCGGGTTGCAGGAAAGTATATTTTGTAGAAGGATGAAAAGTCTGATAGGGAAATATGTACGAAAAAAAAAAAAAAAAAGGGTATTTACAGGCTATTTACAGACACATGACAAAAACAGGACTGCACTACTACGCCATCTTGGATTTAGCCTACCTCCGTGTCAATGAAGGGCTGTGAAGTTAACACCAGGACTCAAATTGAGGGGGTATGAGAGGGTATGACATAGGCCTACCTTTTATTAAAGAAAATGGCAAAAAGCACAGGCCTACCGTTGTTAGTTTAAGATTTTTAAGAAAATAAAACGGATCCGATTTATATAAAGTGATCTATAACAGCGCTTTGGTCCGGGATGATTTATGCTACAAACAAACTGTAAAATACCCGGGAAAGATTCTGATGCATATGGGGATATCATTGTTTCGTTTCTTTGACATTCAGAGGCTGAGCTACAACCTTCTATAGCCGAGGAGACAACACATTTACTTTGCTTGGGAAGTAATCTAATTCTGTCACTATTCATTGATTAAGCTATTCATTTTCTGTACAATAGATGTTTAAACCCAGACAGCTTTTAGGGAATCACTTGTGACCTTCTCCACAGAAGAAGAGTAGCCATCAGTTCAAGCTTACATTTTTCTGTGTCGGTAGGCCTACTCTGTCTGGGGAGGAAAGGTAGGCCTAACTTCTGAAAGTACAATGCTCAGATTCCTAATGACGTCTCAGATTTAATTATTTGCAAACAGGGACAGTTTCGTTGCAAACAAGACACTGATTTGACATTGGAGAAATATGATAAGATGAACACATAGGGATATCTCTCTGTCCATTCTTAGCCTGTAATTTCGGTAATTTGCGTGGTATTAGAAAATATTCTGCTAATATGTAAAATGTATTTTTTTTCTCAGACATGCAAATACAATGATAGATTCATGCAATGCTTTTACTATAAAGGAGATCTTTCCACCCCTACTCTTGTCAATGGTGGTCTGTGAACCCACAACCTCCTGGCCCACAGCTATCTGCACTATCAAAATTCCAGTGTTGCCATATAATGCTTACAGGACAAAGAACAGTTTCTAAAATGACCTATCTAAGGCTCTGGTCTGTCCAAGAAGTGAAGGTAAACGGTCTCTGCTCTCCACCTTATGTTTTAATTATTATTTTGGGTATAGGGGAGGGTGACTTGTTTTTTTTCAAGTGTTCAGGGAGGGTTTCGGTAAAATATATTTTGCTGAAGGGAGGGACATCCATTTTCATTTCAGAGAGGTCTGATTTTATCCATGTAACCCTTATTATAAATATCAGTGTTATTTCCTGATAGTTGCTGATTGAAAATACAGTCTACACAGGAGTTTCTAATCAGTCAGCAGGTTTTGCATGGGTGGATGAAAGAGAGCGACCTGGCTCTATGTATTTGCTGACCTGTGACCCACTGATACCGCCCTCGGTTAGAGGGGAGTAAGACAGCCCAAGAGTTAACACACACAGGGAACTTTATTCACACACACTGACGAAGATGTACATGGGGATGGTTTTGTAAAGGTACAGAAAAAGGAATAATTAATATTCACATATTTGTATTTATTTGTATTTATTATGGATCCCCATTAGCTGCTGCCAAGTCATCAGCTACTCTTCCAGGGGTATAGCAAAATTAAGGCAGTTATACATTGTTACGGATACAGGTATCCTGTATGTGTATTTGTTTTTCCTCTCCTTCTGCCCTAATCACAGGTGTCACTTGTTTTCCTGATTGGTGGTCGTTGGTGTGTCCCACCTGTCCGACATCCGTTCGTCTGCTGATTGCTGAGGTGGACAAATCAGTGGACACTCCTCCGTATTGCACCACCTGTTTCTGGTTTTTCATTACCATATCACATCACACATCCCCTGGTTTTAAAAAGCCAGTCAGTTGTGTTTTCTGACGAAGACTCTTTTTTTTGTGAGTATGTATACTGTGGTGTCTTGTTTTTGTGTACTCACTCATTTGCTGTTTAGTCCATATTGTACCTATGTTGTTTGTTTGTGCCTATGAAAAGGGGGGTTTAGCAAGTCGCCCTTGGGCATACACTACCCGTAGGAAAACCTTGTCTAAACACACTAGTTAGACCTGAGCGGACCACCCACTGTATTTTTGTATGGTTAACAGTAAGCTTAGCGGTTCTTGAGGCAGGCAAGATCAGTTTAGGGTTTTTTTACTTTATTGTTTCATTCCTTGGGTCCAGCTCAGCCCCAAACCGTTTACCATGTGTTTATAATAAACATTTTGTGTTTGACGGTAGCATATGGTTGTTGGTGTATTTTGTTCTCACAGTTCTTTGTCAATATTCTAATTCGCATGAGTTATGTTACTGGTCTCTTTTCCATCCACCCTAGACTTTTAAAGCCACGGGGTTCGTAACATAAAGTGGGGGCTCGTCTGGGATATCTCATTGATTCCCATGCCACTCATGCAAATTGGTTTAGTGTCTGGTTCAGTGTTGAGCTTGGCAGCTGTGACTAGCTGGTTTCGTGTTCCGTGTTCGTCGGCTCGTGTTGCTAGCTTAAGATGGCTACTTTTGATTTGGATGTCTTTTTGGATAACCCTATGTGGGAGGCTTTTGATAATTGCCATAGAGTGGCTCTACAGGCTTTGGCTCACCACTTTTCTATACCCATACCGAGGGTTTTAGTGAAAGCGGAAGTTAGGAAAGTGGTGTTAGAGGTATTATTGAACGAGCAAGTGCTTGAGTTACTGCCGCCTGAGCCTGCTGCTCCTGTAGGGGATGTGGCTGCTGCTCCTGTAAGCCCGTCGGTGTCTGAGGATGAGGACGAGGCTAAGGCTCCAGCCACATTGCCACATTTTGACCCACTCTCCCCACTGTCAGACAGTGCCTGGATGGATGTCCGCTCAACATAGCTCCAAATGGAGGCGGAAGAGCGGGCACAAATCAGGGGAGAAAAGTTGGAGATGCGTAAGCTAGAGGCAGAACAGGAGACACATAGACTTGATCAAGAACTGGAGACACGTAGACTTGATCAAGAACTGGAGATGTGTAAAATGGACCAGGAGTTGCGTAAGATGGAACTGGAGGCAGAGACCGCGAGGTTAGTCTCTGCTCATGCTATGCCTGCTAGTGAGCCGCTACTTTTGATATTAGTAGACAGATCACCCTAGTACCTGTGTTTAGGGAGTCAGAGGTTGACTCCTATTTTAGTGTTTTTGAGCGTATAGTGGTAGCATTGAAATGGCCCGAAGAGGTATGGTGCCTATTACTTCAGTGTAAATTAACAGGTAAAGCCCAAGAGGTTTTGTCAGCGCAACCTCTTGAAGACAGCTTGAATTATGACGTGGTCAAAGCTACTGTTCTTCGTGCCTATGAGCTTGTTCCTGAGGCATATCGACAGAGATTTAGGTCTCGTAAAAAGTATTCTACTCAGACTTATGTGGAGTTTGCTAGATACAAGGGAAATCTGTTTGACAAATGGCACACTGCTAGTAAGGTAACTGATTTTAACTCTCTCTGGGAGTTAATCTTGTTAGAAGAGTTTAAAAATTGCTTACCCGAACGCATTGTAGTTTACTTAAACAAACAGAAAGTATCCTCACTGTCGGAAGCGTCTGTATTGGCAGATAAGTTTGTGTTGACACACAAGAGCGTGTTTTCGGCTCGTACGGAGAGCAGGGCCGCAGAGTTACTAACTCTTAGCCCTAGTCGACCAGCAGTACATCAGCACGCCCGAAAGATGTGCGTCACTGTTTCTATTGTCATAAGGGTGGACATATGGTTAATGATTGCTTCCTGCTAAAACGCAAACAGGGGATGCCTCTGCACACCAGGCCGCCAACGGGTGTTGGGCTGATTCGTACGGTTGTAAGGCCGGAATCAAAAAAGATGCCTCATAGTAAATGTGGTTTGAAAGTCCCATTCCCAGATCGCAGTTAAAAACCATTCATTTTTGAGGGGTTTGTTTCCATATCAGATGACGAAGTGTCTCAGTGTCTGGTTAGAATCCTTAGAGATACTGGTGCGGCGCGTTCTTTCATACTATCTGATGTGTTGCCCTTGTCTGATAATACATATTGTGGTTCCAGTGTGTTAGTACAGGGAATTGAAATGGGATTCGTGCCATTGCACTTTGTGAACGTACACTCTGAGTTAGTCAGTGGATTGTTCAGAGTTGGAGTACGTCCTATGTTGCCAGTAAAAGGTGTGACATTTATAACGATATTGCCGGAGGAAAGGTGAAACCCTTATTGGAGGTATTAGATACAAGTGACCAGTCTCTCTCCGAGGAGCTGGCACAGAGTTATCCACGTGTTCCCCGCATGTGCTGTCACACATGCTCAAGCACGACAAGTGGGTGACGTGATAGATTTGTCGAACACGATTCTGTTCAGAGTGTGACCCAGAGGATAGCTTGTGTGCCACCTCTGGTAAGATGGTGCGGTCTGACCAACAGCCCAGGGAAGGGGAGAAGTATGTGGAACTTGTTGCTGATGTAATACAGTTACCAGTCACTCGTGAGCAGCTGATTGCTAACCAAAAGGTTGACATTAGCCTGGATAAATGTTTTTCTAGTGTTGTCTCAGTGGAGGAGCTAAAGAAGAAAAACATGGCCTACTTCATTGATGGTAATCTCCTCATGCGTAAATGGACATCCCATGTTGACGCTGGCGGAGATTGGAATGCTGTTTACCAAATAATGATTCCTACAGCCTTTAGACTAAATGTTTTATCCATCGCTCATGATCACCAGTGGTCCGGACATCTGGGAGTCACCAAGACTTATGATCAGATTTTGCGACATTTCTTTTGGCCCGGTTTAAAACAAGATGTGGCTCAGTTCTGTCGGACATGCCACACCTGTCAGGTAACTGGGAAACCAAACCAGGTTATTCCTCCCGCTCCTCTTTGTCCCATACCTGTCATAGGTGAACCATTCGAACATGTGATGGTTGATTGTGTTGGACTATTACCGAAGACAAAATCTGGTAACCAGTTTCTGTTGACGGTTATGTGTATGGCCACCAGATACCCAGAGGCCATTCCTCTGCGAAGGATTACTGCTCCGGTGGTGAGTGAAGCCTTGATTAAATTCTTCTAAACTTTTGGGTTACCTAAGGTGGTACAAACTGATCAGGGTACGAATTTCCTTTCTAAGCTTTTCAAACAGATGTTAAAATCCTTGTCAGTTACACGCCGTGTGTCAAGCGCATATCACCCAGAGTCTCAGGGTGCGCTTGAATGTTGGCATCAATGCTTCGTAAATATTGTTTGGAATCTAAGAAGGATTGGGATGAGGGAGTTCCTCTAGTTTTGTTTGCTATCCGTGAGACTGTACAGGAATCCCTAGGGTTCAGCCCAGCTGAACTGGTGTTTGGACACACAGTGAGAGGACCTATGAAAGTCCTTAAGGATCAGTTTTTATCACAAGAGTTGTGTGCGGAAGAAAATGTGTTGGACTACGTTAGTCGCTTTCGTGAGCGCCTACATGGTGCCTGTGCTCTGGCAAATGAAGCGCTGTCTTCCTCACGGAGACGTATGAAATGGCTTGGAGAAGCCTAATTACCATGACTAAACAGTCACGTGGAATTTCACTGCCATCATGATTCGTGACCGCCGGTGTGGTGGTAATATGGTCACCTTAACAACCCTAGCCAGGCACACTGGTTTGTGTCAAGAACCGCAACGTTGCTGGATTTTTCATGTTTCTTGTGTTTATCAAGAATGGTCCACCACCCAAAGGACATCCAGCCAACTTGACACAACTGTGGAAAGCATCAGAGTCAACATGGCCCGGCATCCCTCTGGAACGCTGTTGACACCTTTTAGACTCCATGCCCCGACGAATTGAGGCTGTTCTGAGGGCAAGGGGGCTGTTCTGAGGGCATTCAATATTAGGAAGGTGTTTTTTAATGTTTTGTACACTCAGTGTATGTCGCCATTTGAACGTGATCCATAAACCTGCCCCCAAAACATTTATTCTGTCCACAGTCCCCGAATGTCCCGCGAAATCATTCCCTTGACCTGCATTTGGGCTTTTTAGAAGTGGTCACCCTAATTCCACCGGTGCAAACATTGCTACTGCAACATATTAACCCCATCTTTATGTTATTCTCCTCACATGTGAAATGGTGATATTAACATGTGAAAATATGGTTTCACGTGTGAAATTTAAGTTCAACATGTGAAAACAGCTATTTCACATGTGAAAATGATATTTTCACAGGTGAAACTGCAAATTTGACTTGTGTTCATTTTGTAAGGGCAACTAGACCTCGTTTCAAATTTATTAAGAAATTACCTAGGAAGAAACCTAGAGCGGAACCAGGCTCATCCCAAACCATCTCAATTGGGTTGAGGTCGGGGGATTGTGGAGGCCAGGTAATCTGATGCAGCACTCATCCGTTCACCCACAACACGTCTCACAAAGACACGGCGGATGGAAGTCCCTTCTGAACAGTTGATGTTGAGATGTGTCTGTTACTTGAACTCTGTGAAGCATTTATTTGGGCTGCAATGTCTGAGGCTGGTAACTCTAATTAACTTATCCTCTGCAGCAGAGGTAACTCTGGGTCTTCCATTCCTGTGTAGTCCTCATGAGAGCCAGTTTCATCATAGCGCTTGATGGTTTTTGCGACTGCACTTGAAGAAACATTAAAAGTTCTTGACATTTTCCGTATTGACTGACCTTCATGTCTTAAAGTAATGATAGACTGTCGTTTCTCTTTGCTTATTTTAGCTGTTCTTGCCATAATATGGACTTGGTCTTTTACCAAATAGGGCTTTCTGTATACTCCCCCTACCTTGTCACAACGCAACTGATTGGCTCAAACGCATTAAGAAGGAAAGAAATTCCACAAATTAACTTTTAAGAAGGCGCACCTGTTAATTGAAATGCATTCCAGGTGACTACCTCATTAAGCTGGTTGAGAGAATGCCAAGAATGTGCAAAGCTGTCATCAAGGCAAAGGGTGGCTATTTGAAGAATCTCAAATATAAAATATATATTGATTTGTTCAACACTTTTTTGGTTACTACATGATTCCATATGTGTTATTTCATAGTTTTGATGTCTTCACTATTATTCTACAATGTAAAAAATAGTAAACATAAAGAAAAACCCTTGAATGAGTAGGTGTGTCCAAACTTTGGACTGGTAGTGTAAATTAGCAAACCAATGCCCCCCCACTCCTAACACAGTAGTATGCAGAGCTGCCAACTCTCACGCATTGGCCATGAGACTCATGCATTTGACCCTCTTCTCATGCTCACATGCCCACACCTCTTATATCTCACGCACTGAAAAGTACTGCTTTTATTTTCCTAATTAGTCCATTGTATAGTCAGTGCGTTAACTTTTCAACTGTGCTCCAAACCGTTTTGAAATCAGAGCATCTGCACCTGCAATTTAATCATCACAAGCGGAACCTCTATCATTGTCCTCTCCTGCCACAGCACCGTGAACCGCGGTACATTGAAGCATATAATTGGTCTGGTTATGTAAGGGATCAAGGTGATTGGATGCTCATTTTAAAGCAATGCGCATCCATAGTCTGTGGAACAATTCTCATTTTTAACAATGGCCTAAAATATAGGGTAATTAGCGTGCTTGTCAGCAAGAACACTGCGGTTATTCCCCACACTTATTTTATTATTCCACTTCTTTCCAATTTTGCCAGTGTAATCACTATTTGCAATCTGATATGCCTACTTGTGTCTTTGAAAATGAATTATATGAGGCTATGTATATTTGCAGCCATTCATGGACAGTTTTAAATAAGTCACACAAATAAGCATTGGATATTAAATGCTCCAGGCCTCAAATATAATTTTGGACATTTTAGTATTGTGCACATGCACGACTCATGAACACATCATATTTTGTCCATGAAGAGTAAGATGATGGCAAGGATCTTCAGCTAGTAGGCATAAACCACCTAAATATGGATATTCATTCGATTTTTCTTGAAGGTTGGGTGATTTTGAGAAATTAATTTTTATAACAAGAACATTTTGAAACACCCAGCACTTGGGAAACATAGATCAGGTGTGGCCAACCCTCCTGGAGAGCAAGCAGGATTTTCTTCTTGACCTATTTTAAAAAGATAGTTCACCCAAATGACAAAATCCAACATTTCTGTGTCCTTACCTTGAAAGCAGTCTATGGACAAGGACACTGCAATCTATGCTTTAGTTACCAATTGCCATCAACCAATCAATATTAGTATTCCTGTTCCTTGGTGTATTGGTAACAATCTCCCGCACGTGTCGCATGCAACATCTCACTGTCTCCCCATCTAACTTCATTACTGTCTGAATAAAGTGTCAAACCCCCCCAAACATATGTAAAAAAAATATATATATATATATATATATATTAGCATACTTAAAATGTATCCCCCAAAAATCTCTAAGTAACAAAGTCCTCGAATTTTAAGTGTTCATGTATTGTTCAAAGCATCCTGAGTACTTCGGACTTGTGTTATTATATACAGTGGGGAAAAAAAGTATTTAGTCAGCCACCAATTGTGCAAGTTCTCCCACTTCAAAAGATGAGAGAGGCCTGTAATTTTCATCATAGGTACACGTCAACTATGACAGACAAAATGAGAAAAGAAATTCCAGAAAATCACATTGTAGGATTTTTAATGAATTTATTTGCAAATTATGGTGGAAATTAAGTATTTGGTCAATAACAAAAGTTTCTCAATACTTTGTTATATACCATTTGTTGGCAATGACACAGGTCAAACGTTTTCTGTAAGTCTTCACAAGGCTTTCACACACTGTTGCTGGTATTTTGGCCCATTCCTCCATGCAGATCTCCTCTAGAGCAGTGATGTTTTGGGGCTGTCGCTGGGCAACACGGACTTTCAACTTCCTCCAAAGATTTTCTATGGGGTTGAGATCTGGAGACTGGCTAGGCCACTCCAGGACCTTGAAATGCTTCTTACGAAGCCACTCCTTCGTTGCCCAGGCGGTGTGTTTGGGATCATTGTCATGCTGAAAGACCCAGCCACGTTTCATCTTCAATGCCCTTGCTGATGGAAGGAGGTTTTCACTCAAAATCTCACAATACATGGCCCCATTCATTCTTTCCTTTACACGGATCAGTCTTCCTGGTCCCTTTGCAGAAAAACAGCCCCAAAGCATGATGTTTCCACCCCCATGCTTCACAGTAGGTATGGTGTTCTTTGGATGCAACTCAGCATTCTTTGTCCTCCAAACACGACGAGTTGAGTTTTTACCAAAAAGTTATATTTTGTTTTCATCTGACCATATGACATTCTCCCAATCCTCTTCTGGATCATCCAAATGCACTCTAGCAAACTTCAGACGGGCCTGGACATGTACTGGCTTAAGCAGGGGGACACTTCTAGGCACTGCAGGATTTGAGTCCCTGGCGGCGTAGTGTGTTACTGATGGTAGGCTTTGTTACTTTGGTCCCAGCTCTCTGCAGGTCATTCACTAGGTCCCCCCGTGTGGTAGAATACTCTGCCATTAGTGACCATGCTCCTCTGTCGCTTGACCTCTCATTCTCATTCAACTATACAGATCGCCCCCCATGGAGACTTAACTCATCTTTACTTTCAAACAATTCATTCTGCACCATTTTATCAAATGCAATTGATGTCTTTATTGAGACAAATAAAACAGAATCGATCTCTCCATCTACACTTTGGGAAAAACTTAAAGTTGTTCTTAGAGGCGAAATCATTTCCTAATCCTCTCTTCTCAATAAACAACGGAAAATTAAACAACAACAGCTGATCGACGCAATTCTGGAATTAGACCAACAATACTCTGCCTCTCCATCACCAGAACTTTACAACGAAAGGCTGAGTCTTCAATCTCAGTACAATTTACTATCCACAGATAAGGCTGGGCAGCAGCTACTCCGTGTATGCGTTTTTGTTTACGTACATGGAGAAAAGGCTGGTCGACTTCTAGCTCATCAACTCAAAATCAAATCTGCCTCGCAGCTGTTCCCTCAAATTCACAACACCTCGGGTGTCTTAACAGTTAGTCCCACTGAAATCAATAATACTTTCAAACATTTTTATTCAGATCTTTACACGTCAGAATCACCTGAAGACAATTCAATTATGAATGATTTTCTTGACAACTTGGAAACTCCTACCATTAGTACAGAGAAGAGAGAGGAAATTGATCAACTTTTGCAGTTAGGGGAGATTATTAATTCAAATACAGCAATGGAAAGTGGGAAATCCCCTGGCCCAGATGGCTACCCAATCGAATTATACAATAAGTTTTCTGCCAAACTGGCCCCACTCCTGCTTGAAATGTTTGAAAATGCCCTGGACCAGGGTGTTTTACCCCAAACCCTGACAGAGGCGCCGATCACACTTTTGTTAAAATCCGGCAAAGATGCATCTGATTGTGGCTCATACAGACCAATCTCACTTTTAAATGCAGATGTTAAAATATTAGCGAAATTGCTTGCCTCTCGAATAGAGTCCACTATGACAGACATCATATCGACTGATCAGACAGGGTTTATTAAGGGTCGCCACTCCTTTTCTAACATTCAACGTCTGCTTAATGTCATGCACTGTCCTGCATCTTCGGACATTCCTGAAGTAGTTATCTCTTTAGATGCGGAGAAGGCATTTGATAGGGTAGAATGGGAATATTTATTCTCTGTACTGGGAAAATGTGGCTTTGGTGCAAACTTCATTTCCTGGGTCCGACTGTTGTACTCATCACCCAAGGCATCAGTAATTACAACCAGACTTCATGCAAAGTATTTCCCATTACCAGGGATGTCCAATGTCCCCTCTGTTATTTGCCCTGGCGATAGAACCCCTTTCTATTGTGCTAAAGGCCACACCCTCAATACATGGTATCTACAGATGGGGACTGGAACACAAAGTTTCCTTGTATGCAGATGCTTTTATATATCTCAGACCCTGAAGCGTGTGTCTCTGAGGTAGTGGACCTACTGCGTAGGTTTGGTGTGTTTTCGGGTTATAAATTGAATTTCTGAAAAAGTGAATGTTTTCCTATTAATGAATTAGCATTACAAATTCCAGGGGATTCTATTCCATTTCGTATGTCCAAGTCTGGCTTTAAATATTTAGGGATCAATATCACCCGTACCTTGTCTTCCCTCCATGATGAGAACTTTACTCCCCTGATTGGCTAACTTAAAGTGGACTTTCAGAGATGGAGTATTCTCCATTTTACTTTAGCTGGTAAAGTGAATTGTATCAAAATGAATGTATTGCCCAGATTTCTGTATTTGTTCCAATGTCTCCCTCTTTTTTTACCAAAGTATTTTTTCACTTCAGTGGATAAGCTTATCTTTTTTTTATGGGTCGGTGGGAATCCAAGAATACGTAAAGTATTCCTCCAGAGAGATAGGACACACGGAGGACTAGCCCTTCCTAACTTTATGTATTATTACTGGGCAGCAAATATACAAAATATTGTTTACTGGCTTCACACCCCAGAAACGGACTGGTGTCAAACAGAAGCCAACTCCTGTTTCTCCTCCTCTTTGTCAGCTTTAGTCACCTCCAATCTCCATCTTTCAGCTTCGCGCTACACATCCAATCCAATTGTTGTCAATACTCTTAAAATCTGGACTCAATTCCGTCAACATTTTAAACTCTGTGATTTCTCTATTCAAGGACCTATATGTAATAATCACCTCTTCCTTCCAGGCAAACTAGATTCAGCTTTCAGGCTGTGGCAGAGGAATGGCCTTACTAAGTTTAGGTATTTCCAAATCGGCCAGTTTATTCACACTCAAAGCCCAACCTTTCCAATTCTATCACCCGGATCGGGTCTGGATGCCCTTCTGAAAACACCTTTTCAACTAAAGGGACTCATATCCCGTATTTTTTTGATAATCATGTGCCTTGATAACCCGTCACACAATAAAATCAGATCTGAGTGGGAAAGGGAACTTGGTGGAGAGATCTCTGATGAAGTCTGGAATGGTACCTTACTTGGTTGTGCATGGCTCCTGCAATGCTATGGTTGAGGGTTCAATTCCCACTGGGGAGCAGTACAAAAAAGTATGAAAATGTAGGCACTCACTAGTGTAAATTGCTCTGGATAAGAGCATCTACTAAAATGGAAAAGGAATTAATAGACCATTTCAGTTTTCACATAGAAATAAGTTGCATTGGCAAAGTATTTCAAGAAACTGGATTTTTATTTTTAACTATTTTTCTATTTCACAATCATTATCAGATTAATGGTTTTGTACAGATAATTATCAGACTTAACTTACAAATGCTGGTAAACACTCAAATACATTGTTCATTTTTTTTCACAAAAGTAGTGTACTAGGCCTTTACTAGTATATAGATGTCATCAGTGTGTCACGATCGTTAGAGTGAGTTGACCAAGGCGCAGCGTGATGAACGAACATACTTTATTTAATGACTGAACACACGAACAAAAACAATAAACGATACCGTGACGTCCAAAGGTTAACATAACCAACACGGAATAATCCACAAGGAACAAGATCCCACAACTATTGTGGGAAAACAGCCTGTATAAATATGGCTCCCAATCAGAGACAACCAGCAACAGCTGACACTCGTTGCCTCTGATTGGGAACCATATTTATACAGGCTGTTTTCCCACAATAGTTGTGGGATCTTGTTCCTTGTGGATTATTCTGTGTTGGTTGTGTTAACCTTTGGACGTCACGGTATCGTTTATTGTTTTTGTTCGTGTGTTCAGTCATTAAATAAAGTATGTTCGTTCATCACGCTGCGCCTTGGTCAACTCACTCTAACGATCGTGACAGAAGATCCCACCATACCAGGACCAAGCAGCGTGTCCAGGAGCAGGCAGCCTGGACATGGGAGGAAGCGCCGGGAAAGGAGCTGGAGAGGTTGGCGATGGCCCAGGTGGGCAAAGTGTGGTCCTGGGAGGACATGCTCGGGGGCAAAGGGCCATGGGCTAAGATTAAGGCCCTGGCGAGAGAGGAGCAACGGCGTCAGCAGTGTCGTCGTCGGACGGACGAGAGGCCTGTTCCTGCTCCTCGCACCAAGCCTACGGTGCTCGTCGCCAGCCCGGCCCGGCCTGTTCCTGGTCCTCGCACCAAGCCTACGGTGTGCGTCGCCAGCCCGCCAGCCAGCCCGGCCCGGGCTGTTCCTGCCACTCGCACCAAGCCTACGGTGTGCGTCGCCAGCCCGGCCCGGCCTGTTCCTGCCCCTCACACCAAGCCTACGGTGCGAGTCGTCAGCCCGGCCCGGTCTGTTCCTGCTCCTCGCACCAAGCCTACGGTGTGCGTCGCCAGCCCGGCCCGGCCTGTTCCTGCCACTCGCACCAAGCCTACGGTGCGCATCGTCAGCCCGGCCCGGCCTGTTCCTGCTCCTCGCACCAAGCCTACGGTGTGCGTCGCCAGCCCGGCCCGGCCTGTTCCTGCTCCTCGCACCAAGCCTACGGTGCGCGTCGCCAGCCCGGCCCGGCCTGTTCCTGCCCTTCGCACCAAGCCTACGGTGTGCGTCGCCAGCCCGGTCCGGCCTGTTCCTGCTCCTCGCACCAAGCCAGGGGTGCGCGTCGCCAGCCCGGCCCGGCTTGTTCCTGCCCTTCGCACCAAGCCTACGGTGTGCGTCGCCAGCCCGGTCCGGCCCGTTCCTGCTCCACGCACCAAGCCAGGGGTGCGCATCGTCAGCCCGGTCCGGCCCGTACCTGCTCCACGCACCAGGCCAGGGGTGCGAGTCGTCAGCCCGGTCCGGCCCGTTCCTGCTCCACGCACCAAGCCAGGGGTGCGCATCGTCAGCCCGGTCCAGCCCGTTCCTGCTCCACGCACCAAGCCAGGGGTGCGAGTCGTCAGCCCGGTCCGGCCCGTTCCTGCTCCACGCACCAAGCCAGGGGTGCGCATCGTCAGCCCGGTCCGGCCCGTTCCTGCTCCACGCACCAAGCCAGGGGTGCGCATCGTCAGCCCGGTCCGGCCCGTTCCTGCTCCACGCACCAAGCCAGGGGTGCGCATCGTCAGCCCGGTCCGGCCCGTTCCTGCTCCACGCACCAAGCCAGGGGTGCGCGTCGTCAGTCCGGCACAACCCGTGCCTGGGTCACCGGTGCCTGGTCAGGTACCGGTCAGCTGCTCCACACCGGAGCTTAAGCAATCCGCTCCTACGATGTCCAGTCCAGCTCCAGCCAGCGGGGCCAGACCGGACCAGTGGCGCTACGGGGGGAGTATTGGAGGGTGGTGGGCGAGCCCGGAGTCGGAACCGCCTCCGAGGAGGAATGCCCACCCAACCCTCCCCTGTTTGGCCTATGTTGAGGCGCGGTCGCAGTCCGCGCCTTTAGGGGGGGGGTACTGTCACACCCTGGTTCTGGGACTCTATATGTTGAGCCAGGGTGTGTTCATTCTATTTTGTTGTTCTATGTCGGGAGTCTAGTTTTGTATTTCTGTGTTGGCCAGAGTGGTTCCCAATCAGAGGCAACGAGTGTCAGCTGTTGCTGGTTGTCTCTGATTGGGAGCCATATTTATACAGGCTGTTTTCCCACAATAGTTGTGGGATCTTGTTTCCAGTTGGTTTGTTCCTAGTGAGGTTTGTCCTTTGGATGTCACGTATCGTTTGTTGTTTTGTTCGAGTGTTTACTCTCTTTAAATAAAGTATGTTTGCTTTCAACGCTGCGCATTGGTCTACTCCGTCTAACGATCGTGACACAGTGTGGACGATTTCACACTGATGATAGTTAAAAGCCTCTCTGTTTTGCAGAGCCAACTTACACAATTATTTTAGCCTTGGAAATTTTCTCTACGTCTCTAGAGATCTCACGAATTTGGTCTAGGGCACATGCATATTGACTTTCACAGGGAAGAGAGAGAGAACACATGTTATAACAGTTTCACACCAACCTTGATAAGAATGAGATTGGGGCAAGGTTAGCCCAAGCTACAATCTAGTGGCTCTCCTCACAATTTAGGGGCATAGCTCTGTCTCTAGAAGCCTCGCCTTTCCAAATCATAATTATAACTATTGATCAATTATCCAACACAAATTTAGAATGACAGTCCTTAGTGCTTCATGTTGATTCTGTCACTTTAATTCAAGACCCTCAATTTAGGACACACCGATACTGGCAGAATGTACATTTACATTGACATACAGTATATTCATCTCATCATTTCTATCATTAACTTTTCTTATTACTTGTGGTAATGACAGATTGGTATCTCAATGCATTCTTAGTCTTAATTACTATACATTTTGCAGTGTGCATACCTCCACAATCAACCTGATACCCCAAATAAACCAATTTTGGATAAGCCTAAATAAATTACTGGCACAGTTGACCACCCCCCTCCATCCCGGCACTCATCCTTCTGGCGTTTCTTCAGATAGTGTTTCAGTTCATCCTTTTAATGGCACATGTTCAAAGTGGATGGCCCTTGATAATGTCTCACCTGAGACGCCACTGTCCTTGACAGTCCATTCTGTCTTGTCCATTTTCCTACCAGTACACCAGCAAGTTTGGACAGGATCTCTTTCCACGCTCACTCCACGTGGACTCATGTCGCACTCCTGAGAGAAAAGTCATGAGAGAAAAGGCAGTTGACAGCTTCGACTGGATGCCGTGTACAGGTTGCTGGCTCGGACTCAGGTCTCACGGTAGAAGTGGTGAAGGACCATACTGAACGCCATTTTCACCATTGCTTCAGCCGGTAAGGGGGGGTTGAGGTTCACACTGTTCTTGGTCAAATTATCCCTTCCATGCATCTAGACACCATCTGTGGTTACCTTCGCCATAACCTCGAGAGAGGACAGACCAGAACAACAGTATAGTTTAGGGCATTTCTGATTCAGGAAATCCAGACAAATGATTTACTGTATGACAAATTATTACTACTACCAATATTCTTAATACAGATTTCTAAAACAAATGTCAAAGAGAATAACAAAACACAGTTGAAACCATTTTTTTCTCCAAAATTGGCTTATACTCCCCTATCAACTTGCCGATTTCACTGCAGAGCTACAGGTCAGGGAGTTAGAGGGCCAATCCTTAGGGAGAAATCCGGACCATCCAGCAGACCCAATCTGGTGAGATTTGTTATTGAAGCAAGACAAAAACAAAGAAAAGAAAACAACAACAGCAATGCACATATCACTTGGTGTGGGGAAAACTTCAATCCATTTGGAGTAACTGTCAACCATTACCAACATATATTTTTTCCTTTTACAGGCAGGCATGTGAAGAAAAACAATTTGCATATTTTCCAAAGGGCCCCAGGGGACTGGTAATTCCCCCTTTGGACACATGACTCACATCGTGATTCATGCGTCCAAAAAATAACAACACTGCCTGTTAAATCAAAAATAAACAAATTAGAATAACAAATCAAATTAGAATTACAACTCTTGATAACTCCATAAGGAAATAATTGTATCCCATAAGGTAATGGTAAAATAGACTAGAGACAGGTGTCCCTCATTCAGGGGCAGCGCTCTCGCTCTGTCTTCTCGTGGTCCGAATCACACATGGGACTATTGATAAATTATAAACTTCTTCTAATTATTAGTGTTTACATTGCTCATTTAAATCTCACCCAATGTCTCCAGTCTTTCTAGTGAGGGTGATCAGGCCTCACCAGGAAGTCAGAACAGAGGTCAGATGTCAGTCAGCCCTATTAAGTGAGTGTTTGTTTTCCTGTACCTCAGACATTAATGAAATATATTTCAAACATTTCAAACATGTTGTGTATCAGGTTTACATTGGGTTTTTCAGTACATTTCTTCTAATCAAGAGAATGTATATGTGTGCACCCAAAACTCTGACAATAAAAACTTCCGAAAATTTCATTTGTGTACAGCATCCTAAAATAAAAAATAAAAAGACCCCACACAGTGGGTGCTGGCGTGTATATAGTAAAAATTGTAGGGTAACTACTGGGTGATCTGAAAAGTCATAGTCAATCGATCAATAACATAATAATACTATTAGCAAAAATGTTTATTTTCAATTTACAATCTGTAGAAACAATGAGAACAGAAAGGTTCAGAACTTTTGTAAGACGTCACAGTACAGTTGAAATATATATGGCAAATAGAAATCCTATATGCATGGTGTTAAAAGATAGATGGGAGGTGTTGAATGGAATTGAAGGATGGGACTAATAACAACTAACAACAAACAATAACAAGATAACTAATAATGTAGGCACGCTGTGTCCATAATAAGTGTATGGGTTGTAGGTTGGGAGCTTTTGTGAAGGAGCACAGTTAGAAAGATATGGCATATAGAACCGGATGGACATCATGAAAATGATCGGAGAGGTTGAGAGTAGAAGAAGTTCAGGAGAAAGAACAAACAAAATGTAATTACTGTAAAATTGACTGTGTCCATAAAATGTAGATAGTATATATGTATATGTATATGTATGTGTATGTGTGTATGTATATATATATATATATATATATATATATATATATATATATATATAAACATGAGGATTGGAAGTGATACAGACAATTACATTGATGGAAGTTACAATCTGTCTGCAATATTAAGCTGATCTACCCCCCTCACAGATCAATTTATAAGCATAAATGTCGGTCAGAATCGGTACCGGAACCACGCAGGTCCCCTAAACAGAGGTTTTAAGGTGTCAACTATAGCCAGTACTGCACTACAAATTGGTTGTCATATAGAGAGCTGGGCCCACTCATATTGTGAAACAAGCTTCATTTAATCAATTGAGTTATAATGCACACATAAACAGTGTGCCATGTGTTGTAGCAGCAGTTTAAATAGCAAAGTCTATACAGCGGTTGATGGGGCTATATTGACTGTTCATTCAGGTTGTAGGCAATTTCCTCTATTGCGGTTTTATAAAACGTGCTTATCAAACATGGATTAATACTAGTTATCATTTGAATAAACCAGTTGATAAAGCATAGACACAATCAAGATAAGGGTAACATCATGGAAATTATTATGTACAAATGCAAACAATCCAAATTATTCAAAGACAAATTCCTAGTAGTATATTGAAAACACATCCATTTCACACACCTTTGCATTATAATACTTCTGTATCTATTTCCACTAACAATCGACAGTATTTACGGAGCGATATGTGAGAGAGCACCTCGGTTATTTTAATGGTAAGATAGATTTCCCTAAAAACACTGAAATTGGCTATTATCTGGTAATTACTCAATAACAATGTAGGCAGTAATAATTCAGCAACTCAACAGCGCTGAAAACTCTGTGTTAACGTGAGGATGGGGTGGGCGAAGAGATCCGATAACACAAACACACACACACCTGTGTGAACAACACACACGCTTGAGCGCACACACTCACACACTCACTAACCAAAACTCACGGATCACGGTTAATTGTTCAGAACCTGCATCTGTGAGTGTTGCTGTCTGTCTCAGAAGGGTTTGTAGAAGTGATTTGTGCCTATTGAGAATTGGTTAAAAACACCACGAAGGGATTATTTGATGTGAGTACCTAGAAGTTTCTAATGTTATATATGTATTAACTTGCTCACCCAAACGTAGACGTACGTCATGGGTAGGGGAGTAATTAATATGGGTTTTCTAAGTTTGTACCGTTGTTGGATCATGTGATAGAGATAAGGTTTAAGGTGTAAACTGACCATAAGTAATGTGGTTATAGACGTAATTTATAATATAGTACAAAGCCAATTATCAGTGCGGAGTTAAGGTGGTGAAGTGAAGGAACTTCATTTTGTTCAGAGGGTAAGATGACAAACCATTGTAAATTGCGCTATTTGTGGGATTTATTTGTCATTTCAATGGCATCGAGTAAAATCTGGGTTTATGAGTGTAATTTCACTTTTGGTATGTGTTGCTTGAACAGATACTACAGAGGGACACTCAAAGTCAATCTTAAATGAATCTTTATTTATTGTCAGTGCGCTGGAGTGGTTCCAACAAATTCAATGCACCAAGTACACATGTCGATTAGGAGCTCTAACGGGGCAGTCCCGTTAGTTCCCTTATATACTGACAAGTTATATTTGCATGATTTAGCTTATTCATCATTCATAATTAATGTTTGCTTTATTCATGTGACGACCAATACTGGGTCATGCATGTGACAGACCAATACCTCATGAGGCTTCTTCTCTCTAAGCTGAGACCTTGAAACTGAGATATCCCTTTCTCTAAACAAGGTTCTGGGCGTACTGCCAAATTGCAGATACTGATAGTGAGGATTCGTTCAATCAGTTACTTGCATGAACACAGAAATTGGTTTATAGAAAATCACAAACAGAACACAGAAATTGGTAATTAGAAAAGCACAAACAAATCCATCACAAATGTTCCTGTTACAGTTTTGACTTAAATCGGCTTGAAAATCTATGGCAAGACTTGAAAATGGCTGTCTAGTAATGCTCAACCACCAACTTGACAGAGAATGAAGAATTTTAAGAAGAAGAATGTGCGAATATTGTACAGTCCAGGTGTGCAAAGCTCTTGAGACTTACCCAGAAAGACTCACAGCTGTAATCACTGCCAAAGGTGATTCTAACATGTATTGACTCAGGCGTGTGAATACTTATGTAAATTAGATATTTCTGTACGTCATTTTCAATCAATTTGTAAACATTTCTAAAAACATGCTTTCACTTTGTCATTATGTGGTATTCTGTGTAGGTATTGTGGGTGAGAAAAAATATTGATTTAATGAATTTTGAATTCAGGCTGAAACACAACAAAATGTTGAAGGCTGCTTTTATACATAACATATAGTTAGTTAGTTAGTTAAAATATATAGTGGTCCCCTGTAGCTCAATTGGAAGAGCATGGCGCTTGTAACGCCAGGGTAGTGGGTTCGATCCCCGGGACCACCCATACGTAAAAATGTATGCACACATGACTGTAAGTCGCTTTGGATAAAAGTGTCTGCTAAATGGCATATTATTATATAAACATCTGAATTTAAGTAAACATTAAATCATTTATTCATCAATGCCACAAACCTGGGACTTCAAAGAGCACAATATGAACTATACGGAACTAAAATATAAACACAACATGCAACAATTTCAACGTTTTTACTGAGTTACAGTTCATATAAGGAAATCAGTCAATTTAAATAAATTCATTAGGCCCTAATCTATAGATTTCACATGACTAGGCAGGGGTGCAGCCATGGGTGGGCCTGGGAGGGCATAGGGCCCACCCACTTGGGAGCCTTGCTGTGGACTACACAGGCATCTTTTAGAAAAGTAAAGGGCTGATATGACAATGTTTTGACAATGTTTTCAGTTTTTGAATTGGTTTGAGCGGGCACCAGGGAGAAGAACAAGGAAAACCTGTATGACCTGATAAGCAGAAAAATAGACCCTCTGAGGAATGGATTGTTTAGGGGTGGAGAAGATGCCATGACACCAATAGACAGTACCAAAGAACTCAGAAGGCAGATACTTTTGTAGAAGATTTAAACATTTATTGAATTATTTTAACAACCAATTTTGCAAAGTCATCCAGCCATCACATACAGAATACACATTTACACTTTAAAAAGGTTTAAGAGTCAAAAAGGTTTCAGATATACCCAATCAGTCAACCCATTTACGGTTAGTACATGGCTAACATCAAATTAGTACACAGAAAGTACCTTCGACAAATTTCCAGTTAACCTAGATATCCCAATAACGATAACACATAAACATAAACAAATATAACTTTAAAGCTTGCTACAGTAACTTAGTGTGCAGGCTAACTCAAATGAGCTGCTAACGTAATGTTAGGTAGGTAACTTTACATACTGTATAGTCATCTAAGGGAATTAAATATAAAATACTTATTTCCCTCATTAAAATGCAAATCAATTTATAAATTTGTTGTTATTCTGTCTCTCACTGTTCAAATAAACCTACCATTAAAATTATGGACTGATCATTTCTTTGTCAGTGGGCAAATGCAAAAAATCAGCAGGGGATCAAATACTTTTTTCCCTCACTGTAGCTAAAAGCCATGGAAGAGGGTGAAAGGATTAGAAGCTCCAGCTGTCAGAGAAGGGAGAGAGTAGGCTACTATAGATAGGGCAGGTACCTTTGTGGGAGGACATTATGAAAAGATTATCCAGTTACAGCCCCTAGCGAGAAAAACTATGAGGACAGAGAGCTACAGCAAGATAATATTCAGTGCACCTTTTACCATACCCCGTTCAAATAAACTTGACCATTTTCTTGACCATTCACCCTCTGAATGGCACACATACACAATCCATGTCTCAATTGTCTCAAGGTTTTAAAATCCTTCTTGAACCTGTATCCTCCCATTCATATACACTGTTTGAAATGGATTTAACAAGTGACATCAATAAGGGATCATGGCTTACACCTGGATTCACTTGGTCAGTCTATGTCATGGAAAGAGCAGTTGTTCCTAATGTTTTGCACGTGTACCTATGTGTACCTATGTTAGCAAATGTTGTAAACAAAAATACAGTTTAATGTCACACACAATGTATAAACCTATAACAACTGGAGCAGGCCAACCCTGCTGTGTGTGCAGGCTTATGTTCCAGCCCAGCACTAACACACCTGATTCAACTTATCAAACCTAATTAGTTGATAATTAAAGTGTGCTATTGCTGGGCTGGAATAGAGGTCTGCTCACCAAGTAGACCAGGGATCAGTGGAGCGAGGTTGGCCACCTCTGGCATTGACCTATTTTTGTTCACCTGAAAATATGCTTTAGTAATAATAGCCTACTTGTTACTAAGATGTATAACCTTTACATACAGTGGGGCAAAAAAAGTATTTAGTCAGCCACCAATTGTGCAAGTTCTCCCACTTAAAAAGAAGAGAGAGGCCTGTAATTTTCATCATAGGTACACGTCAACTATGACAGACAAAATGAGGAAAAAAAATCCAGAAAATCACATTGTAGGATTTTTAATGAATTTATTTGCAAATTATGGTGGAAAATAAGTATTTGGTCAATAACAAAAGTTTCTCAATACTTTGTTATATACCCTTTGTTGGCAATGACACAGGTCAAACGTTTTCTGTAAGTCTTCACAAGGTTTTCACACACTGTTGCTGGTATTTTGGCCCATTCCTCCATGCAGATCTCCTCTAGAGCAGTGATGTTTTGGGGCTGTCGCTGGGCAACACGGACTTTCAACTCCTTCCAAAGATTTTCTATGGGGTTGAGATCTGGAGACTGGCTAGGCCACTCCAGGACCTTGAAATGCTTCTTACGAAGCCACTCCTTCGTTGCCCGGGCGGTGTGTTTTGGATCATTGTCATGCTGAAAGACCCAGCCACGTTTCATCTTCAATGCCCTTGCTGATGGAAGGAGGTTTTCACTCAAAATCTCACGATACATAGCCCCATTCATTCTTTCCTTTACACGGATCAGTCGTCCTGGTCCCTTTGCAGAAAAACAGCCCCAAAGCATGATGTTTCCACCCGCATGCTTCACAGTAGGTATGGTGTTCTTTGGATGCAACTCAGCATTATTTGTCCTCCAAACACGACAAGTTGAGTTTTTACCAAAAAGTTATATTTTGGTTTCATCTGACCATATGACATTCTCCCAATCCTCTTCTGGATCATCCAAATGCACTCTAGCAAACTTCAGATGGGCCTGGACATGTACTGGCTTAAGCAGGGGGACACGTCTCGCACTGCAGGATTTGAGTCCCTGGCGGCGTAGTGTGTTACTGATGGTAGGCTTTGTTACTTTGGTCCCAGCTCTCTGCAGGTCATTCACTAGGTCCCCCCGTGTGGTTCTGGGATTTTTGCTCACCGTTCTTGTGATCATTTTGACCCCACGGTGTGAGATCTTGCGTGGAGCCCCAGATCGAGGGAGATTATCAGTGGTCTTGTATGTCTTCCATTTCCTAATAATTGCTCCCACAGTTGATTTCTTCAAACCAAGCTGCTTACCTATTGCAGATTCAGTCTTCCCAGCCTGGTGCAGGTCTACAATTCTGTTTCTGGTGTCCTTTGACAGCTCTTTGGTCTTGGCCATAGTGGAGTTTGGAGTGTGACTGTTTGAGGTTGTGGACAGGTGTCTTTTATACTGATAACAAGTTCAAACAGGTGCCATTAATACAGGTAACGAGTGGAGGACAGAGGAGCCTCTTAAAGAAGAAGTTACAGGTCTGTGAGAGCCAGAAATCTTGCTTGTTTGTAGGTGACCAAATACTTATTTTCCACCATCATTTGCAAATAAATGCATTAAAAATCCTACAATGTGATTTTCTGGATTTTATTTCCTCAATTTGTCTGTCATAATTGACGTGTACCTATGATGAAAATTACAGGCCTCTCTCATCTTTTTAAGTGGGAGAACTTGCACAATTGGTGGCTGACTAAATACTTTTTTTCCCCACTGTATGAGTTAGCATACTTGTACACTTTGAAATGTTATGAAATAAAGGGTTGATTCTTTGAAGCGAAGTGTTTAAACTTATTTTAATTGTTAACTTAAAACAATTATTCAAGATGAAGTAGTGTCAATGTTGATTAATCACAGATCACAATTCTGCAATAAAGAGGGGAAGGGAATCTGTTTCTAATTTCTCTGTGTTTCTGTGTTGTATTCTCAAATGAACATTACCTTTTTTTTCAGTTGTAAGCTCTCCAATTAGTTTTATTTGATTGTCACTCTCTCTTAGGATATCAGCCATGTGAACCCATTATAGGCCTCCTGTAGGTCAGTTGGTAGAGCATGGTGCATGCAACGCCAGCGTTGTGGGTTTGTTTCCCACGGGGGGGCAGTATGAAAAATGTATGCACTCACTAACTGTAAGTCGCTCTGGATAAGAGCGTCTGCTAAATAGCTTAAATGTAAATGTAATGATAATGGCATGCAACACCAATGCAGCCATAGTCCTATAGTATGATGGCATTAGCCTTATGGGCATCTGCAATGCAGAGAATAGCTTAACTCACACATGGTTTAATGTTGTTGAGCTATATGTTCTCAATTTAAAAACGATACCAGTAGACAATAGCGATAGACAATGTATATTAAACCAAATTTTTCACATGCCTTGTGCTGACATTAAATTGTTTAGTGCAAATCCAACCCTTGTAATCTAGGTAGTGAAATGTCTGGAAGCAGGAAATTATAGGATCCTTAGCTTAAAACATACACATAACTACTACTACCAAGTTTAATGCCAGATACTTTTCTCCCAGGTCTGAGTGGCACTTGGAGGTGCCACTGTGATAATGAAGATGGTTTGCCTAAGACTTCCACAACAATTACATTGTCTACGCTAAATGTATTTAAACTGTAATAGAAAGAAAGAATAGTTAGGTTATTAGAAATACATTTTATTCAGTGGGGCAAGGCAAAGCAGAGATGACACACAAAATACTTTTCATTTCACCCATACAACAATATAGCCTATTATTAAAGTACAGTGTGTTTACAAAATCATAAACAAAAGTATTTTACATGTTGTTCCAAATTACATGTTATAGATTCGTACATGTGTAGCCTACATAAATAAATGACTGTGAAACTGTGTTTCTGTTTAGTCAGCAGTCATTGCTACACCCTTCATTTGGTTTACAAGGGCACCTTTGTCATGACGACAAGGTGAAGGTGCTCTCTACTCCAATGGCACAACAGTATCATTCAGATTGACCAAGACACAGCATATGACAACCATTTTGTCTAGCTGAGGGATGTCTCCTTTCATATCTTGAAAAGGACGAAGAAGTAGATGTAGAAGCTGATGCTGCTGCAGCATTGCTCATCTTCACAGTGGGAATCTGGTCGACATGGGTGTCTTGATAGGGGTCACCTGGTGAACCTACAGTACATAAACAAATTAAAAGCACACCTGATGTTAGAGTATCACTTCTTCAGGTCACCTATACCATCAGGGCTCTTGATAGTTTAGTTGTGTTTAATTCATTCAGGTGTTTTAGTGTCATATAAAGATGTAATCTATTGTTGGGCTGGAACACCCAATAGTCAACACAGCAGGTTGTCCTACCCCATTGAGGCCTTTGTCCTATGCTGTAATGTCCCTACATTTTCCCTACTCTTATGAATAAAGTTCTCAACCAACTATCATTGGTTCAGTGCCACTGGCAAGTATCTTTTAGGATAATAATGTCCTCCTCAAGGCTAGATGCACATTGTGCAATTTATGTCTCCCCTTTTCGTAGGTCTAGATTAGATGGTTGCCTTCAAGCATGATTGCGGGAAGATGTTTTGGGGTGGGGTTACTGTTGACGGGATGCGGGGGACGGGGGGGGGGACGGGGGGCTGCTGAGGATATATTTTTTTGAATTATTTATATATCTTTTATATATACAGTGCCTTTGGAAAGTATTCAGACCCCTTGACTTTTTCCACATTTTGTTGCATTGCAGCCTTATTCTAAAATGGATTAAATGTAAAAAATCCTCAGCAATCTACACAAAATACCCCATAACAACGAAGTGAAAACAGAAATAACTTATTTACATAAGTATTCAGACCCTTTGCTATGAGACTCGAAATTGAGCTCAGAGCTCAGGTGCATCCTGTTTCCATTGATCATCCTTGAGATGTCTCTACAACTTGATTGGAGTCCACCTGTGGTAAATTCAATTGATTGGACATGATTTGGAAAGGCACACACCTGTCTATATAAGGAACCACCAATACTCTTCCTAGAGCTGGCCGCCCGGCCAAACTGAGCAATTCCCGAGTGGCGCAGTGGTCTAAGGCACTGCATCACGGTGCTAGCTGTGCCACTAGAGATCCTGGTTCGAATCCAGGCTCTGTCGTAGCCGGCCGCGACCGGGAGACCCATGGGGCGGCGCGCACAATTGGCCCAGCGTCGTCCAGGGTAGGGGAGGGATTTGGCCGGCAGGGGATGTAGCTCAGTTGGTAGAGCATGGCGTTTGCAACGCCAGGGTTGTGGGTTCGATAAAATAATGTAATAAGAGCGTCTGCTAAATAACTAAAATATAAATATAAAATATAATTGAAGGAGAAGGGCCTTGGTCAGATACGTGACCAAGTACCCGATGGTCATACTGACAGAGCTCTAGAGTTCCTCTGTGGAGATGGGAGAACCTTCCAGAAGGACAACCATCTCTGCAGCACTCCACCAATCAGGCCTTTATGGTAGAGTGGCCAGACGGAAGCCACTCCTCAGTAAAAGGCAAATGACAGCTCGCTTGGAGTTTGCCAAAAGGCACTTAAAGACTCCCAGACCATGAGAAACAAGATTCTCTGGTCTGATGAAACCAAAACTGAACTCTTTGGCCTGAATGCCAAGCGTCATGTCTGGAGGAAACCTGGCACCATCCCTACGGTGAAGCATGGTGGTGGCAGCATCATGCTGTGGGGATGTTTTTTAGCGGCAGGGACTGGGAGACTAGTCAGGATCAAGGCAAAGATGAACAGAGCAAAATACAGAGAGATCCTTGATGAAAACCTGCTCCAGAGCGCTCAGGACCTCAGACTGGGACAAAGGTTCACCTTCCAACAGGACAATAACCCTAAGCACACAGCCAAGACAACGCATGAGTGGCTTTGGGACAGGTCTCTGAATATCCTTGAGTGGCCCAGCCAGAGCACGGATTTAAACCCGATCGAACATCTCTGGAGAGACCTGAAAATAGCTGTGCAGCAACGCTCCCCATCCAACCTGATAGAGCTAGAGAGGATCTGCAGAGAAGAATGGGAGTAACTCCCCAAACACAGGTGTGCCAAGCTTGTAGAGTCATACCCAAGAAGACTCGATACTGTAATCGCTGCCAAAGGTGCTTCAACAAAGTACTGAGCAAAGGGTCTGAATACTTACACTACCAGTCGAAAGTTTGGACACACCTACTCATTCCAGGGTTTTTCTTTATTTTTACTATTTTTTACATTGTAGAATAATAGTGAAGACATGAAAACTATGAAATAACACATATGGAATCATGTAGTAACCAAAAAAGTGTTCAACAAATCAAAATATATTTTATATTTGAGATTCTTCAAATAGCCGCCCTACATACAGACTGGTACTGAAAGTAAATGTGATATTTCAGTTTTCTTTTTTTTTTTTATGTGCAAAAATGTATGAAAACCTGTTTTTGCTTTGTCATTATGGGGTATTGTGTGTAGATTGATGAGGGGGAAAAAACTATTTAATCAATTTTAGAATAAGGCTGTAACGTAACAAAATGTGGAGAAAGTCAAGGGGTCTGAATACTTTCCGAAGGCACTGTATATTTTTGAATATTCTATTTTTTTTTATTCAAGGGATGCTGCAGCACCCTCAGCACCCCTACTTCCCGCAGCTATGCATTCAAGACAATATCCTTTTTATTGATCTGTTTTTCAGTGTCAGCAGAGTAGGCCTAGGCTTCCTTGTGATTAGTCGTATTAATAAAGATTCTGCTAATGTCTCCAGTCATTCAAAGTGTAGTAGAATTGCATGAAATGTGCTTATCAAAGCTAGCTAATGCTGGCTAACTTAGTCTTATTGTTAACACCTGGTTAGCATAACAGCTAACAGCTAAACTAAATTACCTCATAATTTCCTCAAGAAAAGTTTGTACCGACAAATGTAGCCTATTGAATAGCCTATCATTATATAATATGCATAAAATGCATTCTCCAATTGCAACGTCTGCCTATGCCCACACATACTGTCTCAAGAAAATGTTATATTTTTAATACCCTCAAACACCAAGTTAGGCATACCTCGTTTCAAAATAGGCCATCATCACTGTCAATCGTGAATGATAATTCTTCATGTTTTACCTGTGAAACATCCAAACTGCATCTGCATGCCAATCATTTGATTGATGTCAATCATTTTCATGGAAATATGCATTTAAATCTTCTTGAATTACTGTTTCATGAGCAAATTAGAGCAGTTGGTGTTAACAAACTATACTGAACAAAAATATAAACGCAACATTCAACAATTTCAATGATTTATTGAGTTAAAGTTCATATAAGGAAATCAGTCAATTGAAATAAATTCATTAGGCCATAATTTATGGATTTCACATGACCGGGCAGGGGCACAGCCATGGGTGGGTCTGGGACGGCATAGGCCCACCCACTTGGGAGCCAGGCCAACCAACCGGGGAGCTGGCCCAGCCTATCAGAATGAGTTTTTCCCCACAAAAGGGCTTTATTACATTAATCAAGATTATACAAAACTAGAGCCTGCAGAACTTGCTTTTTGGAGTGTGGTGTCAAAAAAGCAGAGTATCTCTTTATTTCGGAAAGACCTCTACCCATCTTTACAACCATTGGATCTATATGTTTTGACCATGATAGTTTACAATCTAAGGTAATGTCAAGTAATTTAGTCTCCTTAACTTGTTCAACAGCCATACCATTCATTATTAGATTCAGCTGAGGTCTAGAACTTAGGGAATGATTTGTACCAAATACAATGTTCTTAGTTTTAGAGATGACCAGTTTATTAGTGGCCACCCATTCCAAAACAGACTGCACATCTTTGTTAAGGGTTTCAGTGACTTCATTAGCTGTGGTTGCTGATGCGTATATGGTTGAATAATCAGCATACATGGACACAAATGCTTTGTTTAATGCCAGTGGCAGGTCATTGGTAAAAATAGAAAAGAGTAGAGGGCCTAGAGAGCTGCCCTGTGGTACACATTTACATTTACATTTTAGTCATTTAGCAGACGCTCTTATCCAGAGCGACTTACATTATTATTATTTTTTTTCATACCCCCCGTGGGAAACGAACCCACAACCCTGGCGTTGCAAACGCCATGCTCTACCAACTGAGCTACATATACAGTTGAAGTCGGAAGTGTTTGACATTAGAGAAGCTTCCATTAAGGAAAACCCTTTAAGTTCTATTAGATAGATAGCTCTGAATCCACGATATGGCAGAGGTTGAAAAGCCATAACACATACGTTTTTCTAACAACAGGTTATGGTCAATAATATCAAAGGCTGCACTGAAGTCTAACAGTACAGCTCCCACAATCTTCTTATTATCAATTTCTTTCAACCAATCATCAGTCATTTGTGTCAGTGCAGTACATGTTGAGTGCCCTTCCCTATAAGCATGCTGAAAGTCTGTTGATAATTTGTTTACAGAGGAATAGCATTGTATTTGGTCAAACACCATTTTTCCCAACAGTTTGCTAAGATTTGGCAGCAAGCTTATAGGTCTGCTGTTAGAACCAGTAAAGGGTGCTTTACCATTCCTGGGTAGCGGAATCACTTTTGCTTCCCTCCAGGCCTGAGGACAAAGACCTTCCTCTAGGGGAGGGGGTCACACTCGGACAATCAGAGAGGGGGCTTATTATTGTGGCCCAGGTGGCACAAATTAATCAATGGTCTGACTGCACGGAGATGCTTGGGTAAAATGGTTACAACGGGGGACCAGAGTGTTTGTGTCTCAGGTGAAAAGGGTGGATCTGATCTCCATCACCTAGGACTTGACATAGATTAAATAGATTAATCAAATCTCACATTGTTGTAAATTTTTGCTCGATCTTGCATGCTTTCTCAAACAGCTGTAACTGTATATGCATTCGTAAATCAGGTCCTTTCTTGAGTTGGGCTCTGGGATGTAACAACCGTTGAGCATCTGATCTTATGGTTGATTGTGGAGGAAAGGGGTTGAGTGTGTTAGAGTATGTGCGTGTGTGTTTATCCCACATCTGTTGCAAGGGGGTAAGGATGTTAGGGAGAATATAGGATGAACCACAATAATTGTTTGCTAAAATAATAATTGCTTGTCAAAAATGTTATGTAATACAATGGCAATCCGGGTTGTAGGTCAAAATCCTACGCTTGAACTGCCAACATTATATTAATTGATAATGATGGAAAATAAGATATGCAAGATATTTGAATAGATATATATTTTTAAATAGCTATATACAGTGGGGAAAAAAAGTATTTAGTCAGCCACCAATTGTGCAAGTTCTCCCACTTAAAAAGACGAGAGAGGCCTGTAATTTTCATCATAGGTACACGTCAACTATGACAGACATATTGAGAAAAAAATTCCAGAAAATCACATTGTAGGATTTTTAATGAATTTATTTGCAAATTATGGTGGAAAATAAGTATTTGGTCAATAACAAAAGTTTCTCAATACTTTGTTATATACCCTTTGTTGGCAATGACACAGGTCAAACGTTTTCTGTAAGTCTTCACAGGGCTTTCACACACTGTTGCTGGTATTTTGGCCCATTCCTCCATGCAGATCTCCTCTAGAGCAGTGATGTTTTGGGGCTGTCGCTGGGCAACACGGACTTTCAACTCCCTCCAAAGATTTTCTATGGGGTTGAGATCTGGAGACTGGCTAGGCCACTCCGGGACCTTGAAATGCTTCTTACGAAGCCACTCCTTCGTTGCCCGGGCGGTGTGTTTGGGATCATTGTCATGCTGAAAGACCCAGCCACATTTAATCTTCAATGCCCTTGCTGATGGAAGGAGGTTTTCACTCAAAATCTCACGATACATGGCCCCATTCATTCTTTCCTTTACACGGATCAGTCGTCCTGGTGCCTTTGCAGAAAAACAGCCCCAAAGCATGATGTTTCCACCCCCATGCTTCACAGTAGGTATGGTGTTCTTTGGATGCAACTCAGCATTCTTTGTCCTCCAAACACGACGAGTTGAGTTTTTACCAAAAAGTTTCATCTGACCATATGACATTCTCCCAATCCTCTTCTGGATCATCCAAATGCACTCTAGCAAACTTCAGATGGGCCTGGACATGTACTGGCTTAAGCAGGGGGACACGTCTGGCACTGCAGGATTTGGGTCCCTGGTGGCGTAGTGTGTTACTGATGGTAGGCTTTGTTACTTTGGTCCCAGCTCTCTGCAGGTCATTCACTAGGTCCCCCCGTGTGGTTCTGGGATTTTTGCTCACCGTTCTTGTGATAATTTTGACCCCACGGGGTGAGATCTTGCGTGGTGCCCCAGATCAAGGGAGATTATCAGTGGTCTTGTATGTCTTCCATTTCCTAATAATTGCTCCCACAGTTGATTTCTTCAAACCAAGCTGCTTACCTATTGCAGATTCAGTCTTCCCAGCCTGGTGCAGGTCTACAATTTTGTTTCTGGTGTCCTTTGACAGCTCTTTGGTCTTGGCCATAGTGGAGTTTGGAGTGTGACTGTTTGAGGTTGTGGACAGGTGTCTTTTATACTGATAATAAGTTCAAACAGGTGCCATTAATACAGGTAACGAGTGGAGGACAGAGGAGCCTCTTAAAGAAGAAGTTACAGGTCTGTGAGAGCCAGAAATATTGCTTGTTTGTAGGTGACCAAATACTTATTTTCCACCATAATTTGCAAATAAATTCATTAAAAATCCTACAATGTGATTTTCTGGATTTTTTTTTCTCAATTTGTCTGTCATAGTTGACGTGTACCTATGATGAAAATTACAGGCCTCTCATCTTTTTAAGTGGGAGAACTTGCACAATTGGTGGCTGACTAAATACTTTTTTTCCCCACTGTATATTGAGGTGAGAACATTGGAAATGCTTTTGGCGGTTGACCTGCTTCTGTTCTGTGGGTGTCACTGTGTGCTGTTTTCGATGGATGGGTCCTGGCCTCTCGGGGGCCTAGGGATCCGGGGGGACGGGGGTGGTATGCCGATCACTGGGATGACGGCCCAACTTGGGATGGGGAGGGGCTTTAGCGGGGGAATTAGTGGAGAACAATTGGAGGGTTACTTAGTAGCAATGCAAATATCATTGTACAGCTATATGGACACTCAATCACTATGGTATTTTTTATTGGTAAATTTACAAACATATATGATAGTTAGAATTGAAACTTGTATCTCATTATGGTATGTGGTGAAATAAGTATAGCCAGTTATAATTTTAATGGTTTAGCAAATAATAACAAAAGAATAACAATATTTACATGGCTCAAAGAGAAGGAATATAATATATATTGTTTACAGGAAACTCATTCAACAATTCTAGATGAAGTTGCGTGGAAAAAGGAATGGGGGGGGGGGGGGGGGGGGGGGGGTATACTTCTCCCATGGGCAAAGAAACTCAAAAGGGGTGATGATATTAACTAACAGTAATTTCCATCCGAATGTGCAAATTGTCCAAACAGATACAGTGGGGAAAAAATATTTAGTCAGCCACCAATTGTGCAAGTTCTCCCACTTAAAAAAATTAGAGAGGCCTGTAATTTTTATCATAGGTACACGTCAACTATGACAGACAAATTGAGAATTTTCTTCCAGAAAATCACATTGTAGGATTTTTAATGAATTTATTTGCAAATTATGGTGGGAAATAAGTATTTGGTCACCTACAAACAAGCAAGATTTCTGGCTCTCACAGACCTTTAACTTCTTCTTTAAGAGGCTCCTCTGTCCTCCACTCATTACCTGTATTAATGGCACCTGTTTGAACTTGTTATCAGTATAAAAGACACCTGTTCACAACCTCAAACAGTCACACTCCAAACTCCACTATGGCCAAGACCAAAGAGCTGTCAAAGGACACCAGAAACAAAATTGTAGACCTGCACCAGGCTGGGAAGACTAAATATGCAATAGGAAAGCAGCTTGGTTTGAAGAAATCAACTGTGGGAGCAATTATTAGGAAATGGAAGACATACCAGACCACTGATAATCTCCCTCGATCTGGGGCTCCACGCAAGATCTCACCCCGTCGGGTCAAAATACTTTTTTTCCCCACTGTACATACACACACATGTTCTTATCATAGTCTACTCCCTGCATTCCTCAGTTATCGCCGTTCTCACAATATTCTGACTGCCTCATTGTACTTCTAACTAAGCTACACATATTATCAGTTTATTGTCTTATGATTCTAACACTTTTCACACAGTTTCGGAGTGTAATAATTAGTCACTACTAAGAAAGTACTAATCATACTTAAAATAAGAACATTTCACAACTATATTTAAGGGTGGAACATTTAGTCATTACTTTTAACCTGTATATATTTTAATTTCTATATCATTGTCACAGACCACACTGACGAAGCATCTTCAACCAAATTAACAACATCAGGCACAGCACCATCCCCGCTGAGTTTCACTATTGTTTCACTATCAGAACTCTTGTAGGCTTTGGGGATCTCTCGCTGATCCACTTCTGTTGAGCACACCTCACTCAAGGGGACTTCATACACTTGTTCCACTTCACTTCCATCAGCTGGGACTTCACCATCCTCTTGGAGTACCCTCCCAGATGACTCAGGAAAGCTTGCTACCCAGCGGACAGTCCTTGCGTCACTCCCATCCATTTTGCTGGACGCTGCTGACATCTCAGAGATCATGTCACCACTCGATAGAGATCCGTGACTCTCAGGTTCCTCCCAAGAAGGCAAAGGCAGAAAGTTGACTGGCATAATCAGGTTCCTATGCACAGTTTTGATGCGTCCAGTGGTAGGGTGCTCTATACGATATGTGTTCAGTGAGCTGTTCTTCGCAACAACTATGTACACCGCACTGTCCCAGCGATCAGCCAGTTTCTTCTTGCCCCTCTCTCCTTTGTTAGCAAGTAGAACTCTGTCTCCCTTCTCTACCGAATGACCCTTCGACCGTCTGTTGTAGACCTCGGCTTGTCTCTTTTGTTGCTTACTTGCATGCTGCTGAACCAATGTCATGGCTTCTCTCAGATCCTCACCCAAAGACTGGACATACTTATCCACATCTACCGTGTCCCCATCCAACAGCACACTTTCAAACTTCTTTCATAACGTCTACTGGCAACCTAGGGGTGCATCCAAACATCAAGAAGAAGGGTGGAAACCCAGTAGTCTCATGAACAGTGCAGTTATAGGAGAATATCAATGTGTTCAACATCTGAGGCCATTTAGCCTTGGACCTAGCTGGCAGAGCTCTAATCATCCCACCCAGTGTGCGATTCAGACGTTCTGCTTGACCGTTCCCCATGGGATGTTAAGGTGTGGTGTGGGACCTTCCAACACCAGATAACTGAAGTAATTCTGCAATAAGTGAACTTTCAAAGTTAGCACCCCTGTCAGAATGGATACAATCAGCGAACCCATAAATGCAGAATAAATTATTCCAGAGAACACGAGCCACAGTCTTAGCAGACTGGTTTGGACATGGATATGCACATGCCAGCTTAGTAAAGTGATCAGTCACTACTAACACATCAATAGACTTGTTGTTTGAATCTTCTGCAGTCCAGAAATCAATACACACGAGTTCCAAAGGTGCCGTTGTCACAATGGAGACAAGTGGAGCTCTTGCTTCAGGCTCGGGTGCTTTACTCAACACGTATCTCTTACAGTGGGCCACGTATTCCTTGACATCCTTTTCCATAGAATCCCAGTAAAACCGCTGTCTCGTAAGCCACAATGTGCGCTGCTGGCCCTGGTGACCAGCATCATCATCAATCAATCAATCAATTTTATTTTATATAGCCCTTCTTACATCAGCTAATATCTCGAAGTGCTGTACAGAAACCCAGCCTAAAACCCCAAACAGCTAGTAATGCAGGTGTAGAAGCACGGTGGCTAGGAAAAACTCCCTAGAAAGGCAAAACCTAGGAAGAAACCTAGAGAGGAACCAGGCTATCATGAACTCCCTTCAACACAAGGCCTCTCAAAGACACAGGTACGACATACTGGAATATTTTCTTCTTACTCACTGAGTGTTTTGAGACACGATACAGAATCCCTAACCGCGTGGTGAGTTTTCCCCAATGTCTTAGAGTATAAACCGTTTCCTTAGCTTCAAGGGCTCGCTCTCTCCTAGATGGGCGCCGGCCTCTATCTAGAAAGAACATGACTCTGCTGATGACAGGATCCAGTGACTGGTTATCATACAGCTCCTTGTGTGTAAAGACAGGTAAAGGGCTCTGACCCATGGACGTCAACCTCTCAAGGTGCTGCACATGTGAAACGGCCCTCACTGTGGCACCATCATCCCATCGGTGGTGAGCTTAGAGGATAGCAGACACCTCTTCACAGGAAACCAACCCACTGACATCGTCTCCAGCTCTACTCAACTCATTCCCAGGAGCCATTGACGTTCCACAGCCAGACACGTGCTGTTCACAGGAGAGGCGGAACATGTCTTGAACATCATCCACTCGAAGACCTCTGGCTTCCTCCAGCAGGACATCATATGGAAATCTTGACAGTCGGTGCAGAACTGTGGAGCGGACAAATGGCTCTCTACTCAAAGCATCAGCAACAACATTCTTGGGACCTGGTATGTACTGGATATCAAAATCAAAGGGTGCCAGCTTTGCAACCCATCTCTGCTCGCATCCATCAAGTCTCGGCTTTGTAAGAATATATTTGAGTGGATTGTTGTCGGTCCACACAGTCAAATTATGCCCTCGCAGCCAATGGCTGAATTTATCATGAATGGCCCATTTCATGGCTAGAAATTCCAGCCGGTGAGCAGGATACTTGGATTGTGCATGATTAAGAGATTTACTAGCAAAAGCTATCGGCCTGGCTATGTCCTTCCCATCCTGCACTTGGGATAGTACAGCTCCCAAACCACTAGTAGATGCATCCATGGAAAGTAGAAATGGCTGAGAAAAATCTGGATGAGCCAGCAGTGCCTGGTCAACTAGTGCTGATTTCAAAGCTTCAAAAGCGAGTTGACATTCGACAGTCCAGTCTGCAGCAGTGAGCCTGCGAGGGGGACCAGGCCTCTTCCAACCCTTGCCTCTCCTAGGCTTCTTCTGACCTGTAGTTAGCTGAAACAATGGAACAATTCTCAATGTAGTGCTGATAGTATACTACCATACCAAGGAAATAACGGATTTTGCTAGGAGACGGCGTGACACCATCAGCTTCCATTATCTCACTCTCAGTCACATTCAAAATGGTTTGAACTTTAGCAGGGTCAGTGGCTACTGTGTAGGTGTGTAGGTCTACAATCTTGTCCCTGACATCCTTGGAGAGCTCTTTGGTCTTGGCCATGGTGGAGAGATTGGAATCTGATTGATTGATTGCTTCTGTGGACAGGTGTCTTTTATACAGGTAACAAGCTGAGATTAGGAGCACTCCCTTTAAGAGTGTGCTCCTAATCTCAGCTCGTTACCTGTATAAAAGACACCTGGGAGCTAGAAATCTTTCTGATTGAGAGGGTGTCAAATACTTATTTCCCTCATTAAAATGCAAATAAATGTATAACATTTTTGACATGTGTTTTTCTGGATTTTGTTGTTGTTCTTCTGTCTCTCACTGTTCAAATAAACCTACCATTAAAATTATAGACTGATCATGTCTTTGTCAGTGGGCAAACATACAAAATCAGCAGGGGATCAAATACTTTTTTCCCTCACTGTAAAGGGAACATAAGTGAACAAATAACACAACAATTACATATTTAAGTTATGCAACACCCAATTCCCCTGTGTGAAAAAGTAATTGCCCCCTTACACTCAATAACTGGTTGTGCCACCTTTAGCTGCAATGACTCCAACCAAATGCTTCCTGTAGTTGTTGATCAGTCTCTCACATCGCTGTGGAGGAATTTTGGCCCACTCTTCCACGCAGAACTGCTTTAACTCAGTGATGTGTGGGCTTTCAAGCATGAACTGCTCGTTTCAAGTCCTGCCACAACATCTCAATTGGGATTAGGTCTGGACTTTGACTAGGCCATTCCAAAACTTCCAATTTGTTGCTTTTTAGCAATTTTCATGTAGAATTGATTGTGTGTTTTAGATCATTGTCTTGCTGCATGACCCAGCTGCGCTTCAGCTTCAGCTCACAGACGGATGGTCTGACATTCTCCTGTAGAATTCTCTGATACAGAGCAGAATTCATGGTTCCTTCTATTAAGGCAAGTCGTCCAGGTCCTGAGGCAGCAAAGCATCCCCAAACCATCACACCACCACCACCATGCTTGACCTTTGGTATGATGTTCTTACTGTGGAATGCAGAGTTTGGTTTTCACCAGGCATTACTGGAACCATGTCATCCAAAAAGTTATACTTTTGAGTCATCTGTCCATAGAACGTTCTTCCAAGAGTTTTGATGATCATCCAGGTGCTTTTTGGCAAACTTGAGTCAACTTTTTGGACGAGATGGGTCCCATTATGTCTGGCGAAAACCAAACACTGCATTCCACAGCATCAAATTTTAATAGAAAGTTAGCAAAAATAGATAAGATCTTGCTACCATGGAAAGGTAAATACCTGTCAATTTGTGGGAAAATCACCCTGATGAACTCTTTAGTATTATCCCAGTTTACCTATTTGCTTATGGTCTTGCCTACGCCTAGTGAACAGTTTTAAATTATATGAGAAAAAACATTCCATTTTATTTGGAATGGCAAGCCAGACGAAATTAAATGGGCCTATTTATATAATGAATATGAATTCGGAGGACAGAAATTATTAAATATTAAACCATTAGACCTTTCACTAAAAGCTTCAGTCATACAGAAGTTATACTTAAATCCGAACTGGTTCTCTAGCAAATTAGTAAGATTGTCTCACCCAATGTTCAAGAATGGCCTTTTTCCCTATATTCAGATTACAACCTCTCACTTTCAGTTATTTAAAAAGGAAATCATCTCCTAAATATCAGTATTTCTAAAACAAGCAATAGAAAGTTGGTTGCAATTTCAATTTAATCCTCCAGAAACGTCAGAACAAATAATGCAACAAATATTGTGGTTAAACTCAAATATACTAATTGATAAAAAACCTTATTTATTTGACAAAATGTTTAAAAAAGGTATAGTCTTCGTAAATGATCTCATCGGTAGGACTGGAGGAGTCATGTCGCACATGCAGCTAACAAAAACATATGGAAATGTATGCTCTACCCAAAATTACAACCAAATAATTGCAGCATTACAGCAAAAATGGAAGAGGAAAGTGGAAGGGGGAAAAAGTAAGGAACTTGTCTGTCGGCCATGCATTAAAGAACATAATTGGTTAAAGACCAGTTTCATTTAAGGACCAAAAGATTGACAGCCATCCCATATAGATTGCAAAATAGTTGGGAAGAGATTTTTGACGTACCAATTCCATGGCATAGTGTTTATGAACTGATACGCAAAACGAAGCTGGATTCAAAACGTATAATTTTTCAATTAAAATTATTATATAACATTCTTGCAACCAATAGAATGTTATTTATATGGGGGATACAATCTTCCCAGCTCTGCAGATTTTGCTGCGAAGAGACAGAATCATTAGATAATTTGTTTTGGTACTGTCCATTTGTAGCTTGTTTTTGGACACAGGTCCAGGAATGGCTAAAGGATTGCAATATTTACCTGGAGCGAACCCTGCAGATAGCATTACTGGGTGATCTGAAAAGTCAGTAAATCGATCAATAATATAATAATACTTTTAGCAAAAATGTTTATTTTCAATTTACAATCTGTAGAAACAATGAGAATAGAAAGGTTCAGAACTTTTGTAAAACATCACAGCATTGTTGAAAAATATATGGCAAATAGAAATCCAATATGGATGGTGTTAAGAGATAGATGGGTGGTATTGAATGGAGTTGAAGGATGGGACTAATAACAACTAACAACAACCAATAACAACAAGATAACTAATAATGTAAGCATACTGTGTCCATAATAAGCATAATAAGTATATACAGTGGGGGAAAAAAGTATTTAGTCAGCCACCAATTGTGCAAGTTCTCCCACTTAAAAAGATGAGAGAGGCCTGTAATTTTCATCATAGGTACACGTCAACTATGACATACAAATTGAGAAAGAAAAATCCAGAAAATCACATTGTAGGATTTTTTATGAATTTATTTGCAAATTATGGTGGAAAATAAGTATTTGGTCACCTACAAACAAGCAAGATTTCTGGCTCTCACAGACCTGTAACTTCTTCTTTAAGAGGCTCCTCTGTCCTCCACTCGTTACCTGTATTAATGGCACCTGTTTGAACTTATTATCAGTATAAAAGACACCTGTCCACAACCTCAAATAGTCACACTCCAAACTCCACTATGGCCAAGACCAAAGAGCTGTCAAAGGACACCAGAAACAAAATTGTAGACCTGCACCAGGCTGGGAAGACTGAATCTGCAATAGGTAAGCAGCTTGGTTTGAAGAAATCAACTGTGGGAGCAATTATTAGGAAATGGAAGACATACAAGACCACTGATAATCTCCCTCGATCTGGGGCTCCACGCAAGATCTCACCCCGTGGGGTCAAAATGATCACAAGAACGGTGAGCAAAAATCCCAGAACCACACGGGGGGACCTAGTGAATGACCTGCAGAGAGCTGGGACCAAAGTAACAAAGCCTACCATCAGTAACACACTACGCCGCCAGGGACTCAAATCCTGCAGTGCGAGACGTGTCCCCCTGCTTAAGCCAGTACATGTCCAGGCCCGTCTTTTTTTATTTATTTATTTTTATTTCACCTTTATTTAACCAGGTAAGCCAGTTGAGAACAGGTTCTCATTTACAACTGCGACCTGGCCAAGATAAAGCAAAGTAGTGCAATAAAAACAACACAGAGTTACATATGGGGTAAAAAAAAAAAAACATAAAGTCAGAAATACAACAGAAAATATATATACAGTGTGTGCAAATGTAGCAAGTTATGGAGGTAAGGCAATAAATAGGCTATAGTGCAGAATAATTACAATAGTATTAACACTGGAATGCTAGATGTGCAAGAGATTATGTGCAAATAGAGATACTGGGGTGCAAAAGAGCAAAATAAATAACAATATAGGGATGAGGTAGTTGGGTGGGCTAATTTCAGATGGGCTGTGTACAGGTGCAGTGATCGGTAAGGTGCTCTGACAACTGATGCTTAAAGTTATTGAGGGAGATAAGAGTCTCCAGCTTCAGAGATTTTTGCAATTCGTTCCAGTCATTGGCAGCAGAGAACTGGAAGGAATGGCGGCCAAAGGAGGTGTTGGCTTTGGGAATGACCAGAGAGATATACCTGCTGGAGCGCAGACTACGGGTGGGTGCTGCTATGGTGACCAATGAGCTAAGATAAGGCGGGGATTTGCCTAGCAGTGATTTATAGATGGCCTGGAGCCAGTCGGTTTGACGACGAACATGTAGTGAGGAACCAGCCAACAAGAGCGTACAGGTCACAGTGGTGGGTAGTGTATGGGGCTTTGGAGACAAAACGGATGGCACTGTGATAGACTACATCCAATTTGCTGAGTAGAGTGTTGGAGGCTATTTTGTAAATGACATCGCCGAAGTCAAGGATCGGTAGGATAGTCAGTTTTACGAGGGCATGTTTGGCAGCATGAGTGAAGGAGGCTTTGTTGCGAAATAGGAAGCCGATTCTAGATTTAACTTTGGATTGGAGATTCTTTATGTGAGTCTGGAAGTTGAGTTTACAGTCTAACCAGACACCTAGATATTTGTAGTTGTCCACATACTCTAGGTCAGACCCGTCGAGAGTGGTGATTCTAGTCGGGTGGGCGGGTGCTAGCAGCGTTCGATTGAAAAGCATGCATTTAGTTTTACTAGTGTTTAAGAGCAGTTGAAGGCTACTGAAGGATTGTTGTATGGCATTGAAGCTCGTTTGGAGGTTTGTTAACACAGTGTCCAATGAAGGGCCAGATGTATACAAAATGGTGTCGTCTGCGTAGAGGTGGATCTGAGAGTCACCAGCAGCAAGAGCGACATCATTGATATACACGGAGAAAAGTGTCGGCCCAAGAATTGAACCCTGTGGCACCCCCATAGAGACTGCCATAGGTCCAGACAACAGGCCCTCCGATTTGAAGTCTGATGTTTGCTAGAGTGCATTTGGATGATCCAGAAGAGGATTGGGAGAATGTCATATGGTCAGATGAAACCAAAATAGAACTTTTTGGTAAAAACTCAACTCGTCGTGTTTGGAGGACAAAGAATGCTGAGTTGCATCCAAAGAAAACCATACCTACTGTGAAGCATGGGGGTGGAAACATCATGCTTTGGGGCTGTTTTTCTGCAAAGGGACCAGGACGACTGATCCGTGTAAAGGAAAGAATGAATGGGGCCATGTATCGTGAGATTTTGAGTGAAAACCTCCTTCCATCAGCAAGGGCATTGAAGATGAAACATGGCTTGGTCTTTCAGCATGATCCCAAATGATCCCAAACACACCGCCCAGGCAACGAAGGAGTGGCTTCGTAAGAAGCATTTCAAGGTCCTGGAGTGGCCTAGCCAGTCTCCAGATCTCAACCCCATAGAAAATCTTTGGAGGGAGTTGAAAGTCTGTGTTGCCCAGCGACAGCCCCAAAACATCACTGCTCTAGAGGAGATCTGCATTGAGGAATGGGCCAAAATACCAGCAACAGTGTGTGAAAACCTTGTGAAGACTTACAGAAAATGTTTGACCTGTGTCATTTCCAACAAAGGGTATATAACAAAGTATTGAGAAACTTTTGTTATTGACCAAATACTTATTTTCCACCATAATTTGCAAATAAATTCATTAAAAATCCTACAATGTGATTTTCTGGAGAAAAAAAATCTTATTTTGTCTGTCATAGTTGACGTGTACCTATGATGAAAATTACAGGCCTCTCTCATCTTTTTAAGTGGGAGAATTTGCACAATTGGTGGCTGACTAAATACTTTTTTTCCCCCACTGTAGGTTATAGGTTGAGAGCTTTTGTGAAAGAGCACAGTTAGAAAGATATGGTATGGCATATAGAAGCAAACCGGATGGACATCATGAAAATGATCAGAGAGGTTGAGGGTAGAGGAAGTTCAGGAGTAAAAACAAACAACATAGAATTATCGTAAAATTGACTGTGTCCATAAAATGTATATAGTATGTATAAGCTGGAAGTAGAGAAGTAGAGGCCTAAGCATTGTTGTTCACTGGTTTACTCCAATTAGGAAAGGGGTGGTGGGGTTGGAAGATAATAAAGGGAAATATATATATTTTTAAAGATGTGTATGTGTATGTATGTATGTATGTATGTATGTGTATGTATGTATGTATGTATGTATGTATGTATGTATGTATGTATGTATGTATGTATGTATGTATGTATGTATGTATGTATGTATGTATGTATGTGTGTATGTGTATATACAGTGGGGAGAACAAGTATTTGATACACTGCCTATTTTGCAGGTTTCCCTACTTACAAAGCATGTAGAGGTCTGTAATTTCTATCATAGGTACATTTCAACTGTGAGAGACGGAATCTAAAACAAAAATCCAGAAAATCACATTGTATGATTTTTAAGTAATTCATTTGCATTTTATTGCATGAAATAAGTATTTGATCACCTACCAACCAGTAAGAATTCCGGGTCTCACAGACCTGTTAGTTTTTCTTTAAGAAGCCCTCCTGTTCTCCACTCATTACCTGTATTAACTGCACCTGTTTGAACTCGTTACCTGTATAAAAGACACCTGTCCACACAATCAATCAAACAGAATCCAACCTCTCCACAATGGCCAAGACCAGAGAGCTGTATAAGGACATCAGGGATAAAATTGTAGACCTGCACAAGGCTGGGATGGGCTACAGGACAATAGGCAAGCAGCTTGGTGAGAAGGCAACAACTGTTGGCGCAATTATTAGAAAATGGAAGAAGTTCAAGATGACGGTCAATCACCCTCGGTCTGGAGCTCCATGCAAGATCTCACCTCGTGGGGCATCAATGATCATGAGGAAGGTGAGGGATCAGCCCAGAACTACACGGCAGGACCTGGTCAATGACCTGAAGAGAGCTGGAACCACAGTCTCAAAGAAAACCATTAGTAACACACTACGCCGTCATGGATTCAAATCCTGCAGCGCACGCAAGGTCCCCCTGCTCAAGCCAGCGCATGTCCAGGCCCGTCTGAAGTTTGCCAATGACCTTCTGGATGATCCAGAGGAGGAATGGGAGAAGGTCATGTGGTCTGATGAGACAGAAATAGAGCTTTTCGGTCTAAATCCACTCGCCGTATTTGGAGGAAGAAGAAGGATGCGTACAACCCCAAGAACACCATCCCAACCGTGAAGCATGGAGGTGGAAACATCATTCTTTGGGGATGCTTTTCTGCAAAGGGGACAGGACGACTGCACCGTATTGAGGGGAGGATGGATGGGGCCATGTATCGCTAGATCTTGGCCAACAACCTCCTTCCCTCAGTAAGAGCATTGAAGATGGGTCGTGGCTTGGTCTTCCAGCATGACAACGACCCGAATCACACAGCCAGGGCAACTAAGGAGTGGCTCCGTAAGAAGCATCTCAAGGTCCTGGAGTGGCCTAGCCAGTCTCCAGACCGGAACCCAATAGAAAATCTTTGGAGGGAGCTGAAAGTCCGTATTGCCCAGCGACAGCCCCGAAACTGGAGAAGGTCTGTATGGAGGAGTGGGCCAAAATCCCTGCTGCAGTGTGTGCAAACCTGGTCAAGACCTACAGGAAACGTATGATCTCTGTAATTGCAAACAAAGGTTTCTGTACCAAATATTAAGTTCTGCTTTTCTGATGTATCAAATACTTATGTCATGCAATAAAATGCAAATTAATTAGTTAAATATCATACAATGTGATTTTCTGGATTTTTGTTTTAGATTCCGTCTCTCACAGTTGAAGTGTACCTATCATAAAAATTACAGACCTCTACATGCTTTGTAAGTAGGAAAACCTGCAAAATCGGCAGTGTATCAAATACTTGTTCTCCCCACTGTATATATGCATATATATATTTGCGAGGAAAAAAAACATATGGGGGATTGGAAGTGATGCAGACAATTACATTGATGGAAGTTACAATCTATCTGCAATATTAAAGCTGATCTACCGCCTAACTTTTTTCTTTATAAAGAAAATAAATAAATAAATAAAAGACCTTCCTCTAGGCTCAGATTAAAGATATGACAGATAGGAGTGGCTATAGAGTCAGCTACCATCCTCAGTAGCGTTCCATCTAGGTTGTCAATGCCAGGAGGTTTGTCATTATTGATCGATAACAATAATTTTCCCACCTCTCCCACACTAGCTTTACAAAATTCAAACTTGCAATGCTTTTCTTTCATTATTTGTTTTTTTATGCATGAATACGATGGCTCACTGTTCATTGTTGGCATTTCCTGCCTAAGTTTGCCCACTTTGCCAATGAAGTTACCATTAACATAATTGGTAACATCAAATGGTTTTGTGATGAATAAGCCATCTGATTCGATGAAAGATGGAGTTGAATTTGTCATTCTGCCCATAATTTCATTTCAAGTACTCCAACGTTTTTTTCCATCATTCTTTATATCATTGATCTTCGCTTCATAATACAGTTTCTTCTTCTTTTTGTTGAGTTTAGTCACATAATTTCTCAATTTGCTGTGAGTCAGCCAGTCAGATGTGCAGCCAGACTTATTAGCCACTCCTTTTGCCCCATCTCTTTCAACCATACAGTTTTTCAATTCCTTATCAATCCATGGAGCCTTAACAGTTCTAACAGTCAGTTTCCTAACAGGTGCATGTTTATCAATAATTGGAAGAAGCAATTTCATAAATTCATCAACTGCAGTGTCTGGATGCTCCTTATTAATCACATCATTTACATTTTACATTTTAGTCATTTAGCAGACGCTCTTATCCAGAGCGACTTACAGTTAGTGAGTGCATAAATTTTTCATACTGGCCCCCGTGGGACCAACAAATATTTTATACATCATCCACATATGAGTCACAGCAAAATCTTTTGTATGATCTCTTATACACTATTTTAGGCCCAGCTGTTGGAACTTTGGCTTTCCTGGATATAGTCACTATATAAGTTGTACAGTATTAGTAAAAATGTGATCGATACATGTGGATTATTTTGTTCCTGTAGTGTTTGTAAACACCCTGGTAGGTTGATTCATAACCTGAACCAGATTACAGGCACTGGTTACAGTAAGAAGCTTCCTCTTGGCGGACAGCTTGATGAAAACCAGTCAATATTCAGGTCCCCAAGAAAGTAGACCTCTCTGTTTACATCACATACACTATCAAGCATTTCACACATATTATTTAGATACTGACTGTTCGCACTTGGTGGCCTATAGCAACACCCCAAAAGAAAAGGCTTTAGATGTGGCAAGTGAACCTGCAACCACAACACTTCAATAACACTTTAGATAAGAGCTTCTCTAAGCATTACAGGGATATGGCTCTGAATACAGTGGGGGGAAAAAGTATTTAGTCAGCCACCAATTGTGCAAGTTCTCCCACTTAAAAAGATGAGAGAGGCCTGTAATTTTCATCATAGGTACACGTCAACTATGACAGACAAATTGAATTTCTTTTCTCCAGAAAATCACATTGTAGGATTTTTTATGAATTTATTTGCAAATTATGGTGGAAAATAACTATTTGGTCACCTACAAACAAGCAAGATTTCTGGCTCTCACAGACCTGTAACTTCTTCTTTAAGAGGCTCCTCTGTCCTCCACTCGTTACCTGTATTAATGGCACCTGTTTGAACTTGTTATCAGTATAAAAGACACCTGTCCACAACCTCAAACAGTCACACTCCAAACTTCACTATGGCCAAGACCAAAGAGCTGTCAAAGGACACCAGAAACAAAATTGTAGACCTGCACCAGGCTGGGAAGACTGAATCTGCAATAGGTAAGCAGCTTGGTTTGAAGAAATCAACGGTGGGAGCAATTATTAGGAAATGGAAGACATACAAGACCACTGATAATCTCCCTCGATCTGGGGCTCCACGCAAGATCTCACCCCGTGCGGTCAAAATGATCACAAGAACGGTGAGCAAAAATCCCAGAACCACACGGGGGGACCTAGTGAATGACCTGCAGAGAGCTGGGACCAAAGTAACAAAGCCTACCATCAGTAACACACTACGCCGCCAGGGACTCAAATCCTGCAGTGCCAGACGTGTCCCCCTGCTTAAGCCAGTACATGTCCAGGCCCGTCTGAAGTTTGCTAGAGTGCATTTGGATGATCCAGAAGAGGATTGGAAGAATGTCATATGGTCAGATGAAACCAAAATATAACTTTTTGGTAAAAACTCAACTCGTCGTGTTTGGAGGACAAAGAATGCTGAGTTGCATCCAAAGAACACCATACCTACTGTGAAGCATGGGGGTGGAAACATCATGCTTTGGGGCTGTTTTTCTGCAAAGGGACCAGGACGACTGATCCGTGTATAGGAAAGAATGAATGGGGCCATGTATCGTGAGATTTTGAGTGAAAACCTCCTTCCATCAGCAAGGGCATTGAAGATGAAACGTGGCTGGGTCTTTCAGCATGACAATGATCCCAAACACACCGCCCGGGCAATGAAGGAGTGGCTTCGTAAGAAGCATTTCAAGGTCCTGGAGTGGCCTAGCCAGTCTCCAGATCTCAACCCCATAGAAAATCTTTGGAGGGAGTTGAAAGTCCGTGTTGCCCAGCGACAGCCCCAAAACATCACTGCTCTAGAGGAGATCTGCATGGAGGAATGGGCCAAAATACCAGCATCAGTGTGTGAAAACCTTGTGAAGACTTACAGAAAACGTTTGACCTGTGTCATTGCCAACAAAGGGTATATAACAAAGTATTGAGAAACTTTTGTTATTGACCAAATACTTATTTTCCACCATAATTTGCAAATAAATTCATTAAAAATCCTACAATGTGATTTTCTGGAGAAAAAAAATCTCATTTTGTCTGTCATAGTTGACGTGTACCTATAATGAAAATTACAGGCCTCTCTCATCTTTTTAAGTGCGAGAACTTGCACAATTGGTGGCTGACTAAATACTTTTTTCCCCCACTGTATATACAACAACTCCTCCCCCATAAGCATTTCTGTCTCTTCTATGGATGTTATATTATTTATTTGCTACTGCTGTATCATAAAATGAATTATCTAAGTGAGTCTCAGAAATAGCAAATATATGAATGTTATCTGATGTTAGAAAGTTATTGACTTCATGAACCTTATTTCCAAGGCTACATATATTAATATGGGCTATTTTCAGCCCTTTCCTGGGTAGCTTATCAGAGATAGACATAATACTGAAAAGAGCAAACAAAGCAAGATAAAAAAATATACATTCAGCAGTCCATTAATCAATTGGTGTGTGTGTGTGCTGCGGGGTTGAAGCTACAAACCCATAGGCTTGGCTCTCTCATCCCTTCCAGGCTTCTGGGAGGGAGGGTGGACAATGAGCCTGTCATAGCGGATGTAAGCAATGTCCCCATGCGCTCTGGCAGCTTTCATGGCTGGGATAAGTTCTTTCCTCTTTTGGCGCACAGCTTCAGGATAGTCCTTGTTGAGAAAGATATACGTTACTCTCAAGTTCTTGGCTATTTCCAGAACAGCTACATTGTCCTTGAACCTCAGGAACTTGACCACTATCGGGCCTGTCACCTGGGCCAGTGGTGGGTTTTCCAGTCCTGTGGACGCGCTCCACCTCAATCGTCCTGTGGTCCATCTTCAATTTCTCAGAGATAATTTCCCTCACTTTGTCCTCAGACTCCAACCAGGTCTCATGTGGAGATTCTGCAATTCTGTCCACAACCATGTTGTTACGCCTTGATTGTCCCTCGAGATAGTCTGATTTATCCGTCATTGTTATCATTGATGCACACACAGAACTGATGTCCTCTCTCAATGACTTACAGATTACTGTAATCTTGCCGTTCTATTGTTTCAACTCATCGAGCTGACCCTGGGAGAACTGCAAACTGTTCTTTAGGTCCTGGACCTCTCTGGTCAGGTCGTCCATTCTTTTATTATTTGAATCCACCAGTATTTGGACAAAGCACTTGAAGCTAATTTATTGTTGTTGTAACAACTGCTTGTATAACTATTTTTGTTCATTTAAAAGATCCTTCACGTGTGATAGAGAGACACCACTGTCCTCGACATTGGTACTCCCGCCAGCTTTGGTCTTTGTCATGGTAGCTAGCAATGTAGGTTTTGCTGTTACTCCTCGCAGTTCCAGACAGGGCAGGTCACAGGGAAGATTGAAAACAACAAACAGCAGGGATCTAGACAGCCACAAACCCGGGACAATCCGCGGTCCCAGCCACAATGTTATTCTAAAAAATAAATAATGGAAAAGTGGTGGGTGCATATGTATTCACCCCCTTTGCTATAAAGCCCCTAAATAAGATCTGGTGCTACCAATTACCTTCAGAAGTCACATAATTAGTTAAATAAAGTCCACCTGTGTGCAATCTAAGTGTCACATGATCTGTCACATGATCTCAGTATATATACACCTGTTCTGAAAGGCCCCAGAGTCTGCAACACACTAAGCAAGGGGCACCACCAAGCAAGCGGCACCATGAAGACAAAGGAGCTATCCAAACAGGTGGAAAATTAAAAAATGGAAAGACTATGGCACCACAACAAACCTGCCAAGAGAGGGCCGCCCACCAAAACTCACGGACCAGGCAAGGAGGGCATTAATCAGAGAGGCAACAAAGAGACCAAAGATAACACTGAAGGAGCTGCAAAGCTCCACAGTGGAGATTGGAGTATCTTCTATAGGACCACTTTAAGCCATACACTCCACAGAGCTGGGCTTTACAGAAGAGCGGCCAGAAAAAAGCAATTTCTTAGAGAAAAAAATAAGCAAACACGTTTGGTGTTCGCCAAAAGCCATGTGGGAGACTCCCCAAACATATGGAAGAAGGTACTCTGGTCAGATGAGACTAAAATTGAGCTTTTTGGCCATCAAGGAAAACGTTATGTCTGGCGCAAACCCAACACCTCTAATTACCCCGAGAACACCATCCCCACAGTGAAGCATGTTGGTGGCAGCATCATGCTGTGGGGATGTTTTTCATCGGCAGGGACTGGGAAACTGGTCAGAATTGAAGGAATGATGGATGGCGCTAAATACAGGGAAATTCTTGAGGGAATTGATGATTTACGTGACCCAGACATAGGCCAAAAATAAGTTAAGCTACCCCATTTCCACTTGACCGTTTTGGATTGCAAAACTAAAGAGAGGCACCAGACAAGACACAGAAATAGCAACAGAAGAATAGGATATGATGGAGAGAGACACCAGAAGAACAGAACAGGCTATAACAGAAGAGGATACAAAAAGGAGACAGTAACAAACAAGAACCTGAGACAGCAACAGACAAGACACAGACAGCAACAGACAAGACAGAAAAAGTGACAGAAGAGATGGAGAGAGAACAGAGGTGGGTTGAGCACACAGTAGACTGTATCCCTTCAACCTGCTATATCGATTCTAACTTGATTTATTTATTTGCACAAATTATAACAGGTGAAATACAGACATTGAAAAAGTGAAACATGGTTTACAAAAGAATTTGCAGATGAGGTGAAAATGCCTGAGAAATTACTATTAAAACAATTGTTTACAACCAGGACAGGACGAGAGAGGAGGGTAGATAAAAGAGACAGCAACATAGAAGACTAAGAGACAGCAACAGAAGAAGGCAGACAAGAGAGACAGCAACAGACGACACAGATAAAGCGATGGAGAAAGGCAGAGGAGGTGTGTATATCTTAAAGCTGCTGTATGGAATCTAATTACTGCAGAGTGTGTGTGTTGGAGAGAGCGAGAGAGAGAGTGTTTGGGTACTATGGAATTGTGTAATCAAGTTGGCTCATTGGACAGGTCAGAGTCTATGTTTGAAGTTGTTGAGTAGTATGGAAGCTTTTGGCAATACACTGTAGATATATGTGTTCCAGGGTAGAGAGCATTCCAGAGTAGAAAGACGACAGTAGCTGTAATTGAGTACTGGCAGTGTTTGTTGTGGCAGGTGGGAAGGAGCAAGTTAACAGAAAAATATCTAATCTCTTAATGTTCTTATCTCTCAATGTTCATCTCAAAGTGCACCAAATTCATGCATTTAGTTGTTGAAATTCTTAATTGTTCTTCCCCCGGACCCCCCCTACTGGCTTTGGGCTAAGCCCCGAATGTCTTCAAATCCTATAAGCGCCTCTGCCCCCAGACCATCAGGCTGCTGAATAGCCACCACTACGCAGCTACCTGTTCCCCTTGTTCCGCTCCTGCCCCCGGACTATATTATTATTATTATTGTTGTTTCATTCACTTCCTTGTTTGACCTGCACTGTTGGAGCTTAAGACTTTCACTGTACCCTGCAATTACATCTGCGACCCTGTGCATGTGACTAATAAACTCATCTAATCTTGCATTCTGAGACACGTGCTTCTCTCTGCAAAATTTGAGCTGATAGCTCAAAAGCCCTTGACTATGGATACTCAGAGCATTATTCAGATGGGAGGCAAACAACTTGAGAGTACATTATAGCATTAAAACATGACAAAACCAGAGTCAAACCGATTTAAACATGGAATGTGAACGAAACAAACCGGTTTAAGAAAACAGTAATTTCATGATGTATAGATTTATTTCAGGGTGGAGGATGTAAAGTCTTTATTTCGATGTAGGGACGGTCTTCTGGTTCAACAGAATCAGAATGTGTCTCTTAGTTGTTCTAGCTCTTGTTCTAGTATAGCATGCTGCCCCACACGGAGGCCACCAGGGCGGCGCAGAGAGCTGCGGATACAGAGAGCTTGGCGGAGGTTGCGCCGCTGACTGTGGCTGGGTTGCACTTGTTGGTGTTGCAGCAGGTCTTGACGGTGGCATAGGTGGTGCCAAGGAGGGTGGCGTTGGTGGTGGTGTTGCACATAGCACTCTCCAGACAGCCTTGGGTGTTGAAGCCTACGAAAGTAGTGAGAGAGGGGAAGGCTAGAGAGAGAGAGAGAGAAGATAGGAGAGTTAGAATGACAGTGAACATGATGCTTTGGGTGTGTGTGTATACACAGTGCATACGGAAAGTATTTAGACCCCTTCCCTTTTTCCACATTTTGTTACGTTACAACCTTATTCTTCAATGGATTATATTAAAAAGCCACTCATTCCTTTAATATGCAGTTTTAATTAACAGTATTATGTGAGAAAAAAAATGTTCATGAACAAATGTTTCATTTTGACGTTATAATACGGTTTGTACCAACATGTGATTTGGTTAAGAGAATGCCAAGAGTGTGCAAAGCTGTCATCAAGGCAAAGGGTGGATACTTTGAAGAATCTCAAATATACAATATATGTTGATTTGTTTAACACTTTTTGGGTTAAAACATTTTCCCTATGTTTTTATAGTTTTGATATCTTCAAATATTATTCTACAATTTTAAAAAATAGTAAAAAAAAAAAAAAAACCTTTGAATGGTAGGGGGTGTCCCCAAACCTTTTACCGGTTGGGATATTTCACCACAAAAGTGGGGAAAAAAAATATTTAGTCACCCCCAATTGTGCAAGTTTTCCCCCTTAAAAAGAGAAGAGGCCTTTTAATTTTTATATAGGTAACGTAAAAATGACAGCAAAAAGGAAAGAAAAAACCAGGGGAAAACACATTGTGGTTTTTATGAAATTTATTTTCGAAAATTTTGTGGAAAATAAGTATTGGTCAAAAAAAAGTTTCTCAATACTTTTTTATATACCCCTTTTTTGGCAGGTCAAACCGTTTTTTAAGTCCACAAGGTTTTCACAATGTTTTGGTATTTTTGGCCCTTCCTCCATCAGACCTTAGAGCAGGTGTTTTGGGGCGTCGTGGGGGAACACAAATTTCAACTCCCTCCAAAGATTTTCTATGGGGTTGAGATCTGGAGACTGGCTAGGCCACTCCAGGACCTTGAAATGCTTCTTACGAAGCCACTCCTTCGTTTCCCGGGCGGTGTGTTTGGGATCATTGTCATGCTGAAAGACCCAGCCACGTTTCATCTTCAATGCCCTTGCTGATGGAAGGAGGTTTTCACTCAAAATCTCACGATAGATGGCCCCATTCATTCTTTCCTTTACACGGATCAGTCGTCCTGGTCCCTTCGCAGAAAAACAGCCCCAAAGCATGATGTTTCCACCCCCATGCTTCACAGTAGGTATGGTGTTCTTTGGATGCAACTCACCATTCTTTGTCCTCCAAACACGACGAGTTGAGTTTTTACCAAAAAGTTATATTTTGGTTTCATCTGACCATATGACATTCTCCCAATCCTCTTTTGGATCATCCAAATGCACTCTAGCAAACTTCAGACGGGCCTGGACATGTACTGGCTTAAGCAGGGGGACACATCTTGCACTGCAGGATTTGAGTCCCTGGCGGCGTAGTGTGTTACTGATAGTAGGCTTTGTTACTTTGGTCCCAGCTCTCTGCAGGTCATTCACTAGGTCCCCCCATGTGGTTCTGGGATTTTTGCTCACCGTTCTTGTGATCATTTTGACCCCACGGGGTGAGATCTTGCGTGGAGCCCCAGATTGAGGGAGATTATCAGTGGTCTTGTATGTCTTCCATTTTCTAATAATTGCTCCCACAGTTGATTTCTTCAAACCAAGCTGCTTACCTATTGCAGATTCAGTCTTCCCAGCCTGGTGCAGGTCTACACTTTTGTTTCTGGTGTCCTTTGACAGCTCTTTGGTCTTGGCCATAGTGGAGTTTGGAGTGTGACTGTTTGAGGTTGTGGACAGGTGTATTTTATACTGATAACAAGTTCAAACAGGTGCCATTAATACAGGTAACGAGTGGAGGACAGAGGAGCCTCTTAAAGAAGAAGTTACAGGTCTGTGAGAGCCAGAAATCTTTCTTGTTTGTAGGTGACCAAATACTTATTTTCCACCCTAATAAAAATACACACATAATCCAAAAGGTTATATATAAAAATATTTTTTTTTAAATCAGAACAAGCAACGACGGAGTCCAAAATATATACAGTACCAGTCAAAAGTTTGGACACACCTACTCAATCTAGGTTTTTCTTTATTTTTTACAATTTTCAACGTTGTAGAATAAAGTTACAGTTAAAAGTCAACTAATGCAAGATCACCAGCCTCTGCCATATGGACACATTGATACACCGTGATCAATTGACAGCTAAAGAAACGAGCGCATGGAACTCATAGCCTATGGGCCAATACAGCAGTAGGCTTATGACTTCCATTGCTCTTTCACTCCGAGGATTGGTGATTATCGAGGGGTAGATTGTTGGAAAGATTTTTCAAATAGCTTACTTTGAGGAACTATAGTTTTAATATATTATTATTTGCAATGGATGTAAAACAATTAATACAAATAAAAACGTTCCTACATTTCTGCGCAGCAGGCCAGGTATTTCTATGCGTGCTCGCGCTCCCTCACCATTATCAGGACAGAGAAACCAAACACATGCTCATTGCTCACGTGGAGCACTCCAAACAAAAGACAATGAAAATATTTACAAATCTCATAAATAATGGTTATGAAATAAACCAAAACGTGTTTCTCACAAGTGTAGCAGGTTGTGAACTCTGCAAACAACGTTTCCACTCTGAAAATGAGAATGGTAAATTACTGTAATTAATTAATACATACATTAACAGAAGTTAATATAACCAAATGACAGGGATTAACGGTATATTTACTACTGGTGACATATGTAATGGGGAGTTGATTAAAAAAAGGGCAAAAATTCACACAATGAAACAATGAATGCGCAAGAATTGGTGGGAGACAGCTGAGCCATTCTGGAGAGAGACTTCGCCACACACTCCTCCCCTTCTTCTTGTCTTAACGTTTTAAGTTATACCCAAAACACATTATCTTCACACATATTTTAGATGCTTTTCACTGACAGCCGCAACTCAATAATTAGCTAGGCCTATTGCCACGCGCGCTGCCCAAACTGTGGGCTTCCCAAATAGGCATAGGACTACGAACTTGTGATATGAAGCGATCCATAGCAATTTTTTTGAAGAAGGTAATGATTCTCCATTCCTCTGTGGCTAAGTAATGCTTTCATTGTCCAGAAGCCAAAGGCACAATACCAGTCATAGTAGCAACCATTGTTCCTTTTCATTTTTTTCAGCACTGAACAAATTCCAGTTCTGCTGGAACTTCAAATAGTAAACTTCCAGAGCACGTTTACTGTGAACACTGAGTCTGTACCGGCTTTAAGTTACAGTTTTAACAGTGGCCATGTAGGCTACTGTGGCTATTTGATCATAATGTAGGCCTAGCAGAGTGGCCTAAAACAATGGAGAAAATGCATCCCATAACGTTTTAACATGGAAATAGCTGTTCTATCATTCAGTCTACAGTAGCAGCCAATGTGTGCTGTTCAACGTAGGCCTACATTCCATGTGACTTTTGAAAAACAAAACATGCAGGGCTTAACATGAACCTGTTTAACAACTTGTCCTTCAGACAAGGAGGTGACTGAAAATGTTGTTGTGTTGTTTGATGCAAGAAACCACTTTACAAAATAAAATGATTTTTTCCCCCCATACAATTATTACAGAAAATCAGACCAATTATGCTACCCTCTGCCTACTGGCTACTTAGCTTATTCTGCCTCAAAATACAACACTGCCCCTTTAAGACAAAAAAAAGCTCTTTACCTGTGTTCCTTTTCAAAAATGTCTAGAAATGTGCACGTTTTGTGCTCTTTTAGGAAGCAATCACTCCCCTATTGCTGACTACAAATTATCTATAACTGGGCTAATAACTCACTAATTAGCAAAGGATATGAACAAAACGTGCACACGTGGCTACATGCAGCTCTCACTATGATCTCAAAACAACAGAATCTACTCACGACCGCTCATGCTGTAAACACAGTTCTGTTCAAAGTAAATGGAACAGACCCATATATGGCAATGGTGTATCTGCATATAGGCCTACTGTAGGTCTGTGTAGAGTACATGGAGGTCAATGCAATAGAATCCTACTCCGATATGTTCTGCCTACAACAAAATGTCTTGCATAGTTAGTTTTGTATAATAAGTATTGCATAGTTTGTTTTGTTTTGGTATGCTGCATTGAAAGTGGCTAATATTGCGTTGATTCGATCACAATTGCCACAGTAAAGGGAAACATTGATAGTGTTAACTAACAGGGAAAACTTTAGAAGTTGAGTGAAGTTCAATCTTGTGCTGCTGATATTTATTCTGCTCTGCAGTCCTAGGGAGCTGGGCTGCAGTCTCAGGCTAATATGCGCACGCACTCAGCTTAGAGAGAACATTGCTCATCATTATACACAATTCTAATGTCTAATGTGTATTCATGTGATATTTGAGTGACAAAAGAATTACAACAATATCTATGGGCTAAAAAACTTTTATAAAAAAACATTAGTTGACATGGGCTAGTTGATCTGGACATTTCTGACAAGTTATAAATAGCTATGCAATGACTAACATGACAAGAGGAACTGATGATGCACTACCCACTTTCGAAATTGCACCTTGTGCATTCTACTATTACAACTTTAAAGAGTACGTTTAAAGCGTGACTGAGTTCCTTTAAAAAATATATATATATAAATGTGTTTTTATTTATTTTTTATTGGGGGGGGGGGGGGGAAATTGCACCTTGTGCTTATGTCAAACAGATGTTCTCAATATAAAGACAGTGACATTGATTGAACTGTTCATTACGATTATATAGTAGAATGTTGTTTAGCATAGTGGTAAAACCAGTTTGAGTTGGTACTTAGAAGGTTTAGTGAAACTAGTCTGAATAAACATTGCAGTCTTTTCCAGAATAAAACCAGTTTCAGTACATTGTGTTTTTTAAGAACTACAACCTACAACACCCTTCAATGGAAACCTATGGAGGAGGTCTCCTTATTGTGAAGGGTTTGTTTAAGTGACAGTGCTCCAGATGGCCACCAGGGCGGCGCCAATGGCCACAATGAGAGGGAGTTGGATGGCTCCGGCCCCGTTGCACAGGTCGGTGCTGCAGCAGGTCTGCGAGACCGTGTAGCCGGCTGTCAGAATGCTACCAGTGGATGTGGTGTTGCAGGAAGCTGTGGCCAGGCAACCCTTGATCTTGATACCCAGGATGCTAGAGACGTTGAACACTGGAAGAAGAAGGAAGAGCAATTGTAAATACAGGTAGTTTTTGTTTGGGTAGCACTTTATTTTACAGTTCAAAAATTATTAGGTATTTACTGAGAAATGACATGGTGAAATGGGAATTACACAGTAATTATCTAAGAATTACACAGTAATAACCTAGGAATTACGCAGTTATAATTTAGGAATTACACAGTAACTCAATGAACTATTTTTATTGTAGCTTTCTACTTGGACGGAATACCTGCTAGTCCGGTGTAGCAGTTGGGCTCGGAGGTGCTACATGTTTTGCTTGAACCAATAAGACAAAAGCTGCCAACCCCCACAGAACATGTGTTGCAATTCAGGGACTCGGCTGTGAGATGGAATGAGAGAAAGATGGAGAGACAGAGAGCAAAGAGGAGAGAGAAGAAAGAAGAGAAAAACAAATAAGATTGCTGTCATCATGACACTATATGTACAAACATACACATAATTTGTTCAGTCCAGTCCAGCACAGAAACAAGAGTGTAAAGACACATAAATATTGGGTTAATACCTAGCATTTTAATGAATGAATTGACGGAGTGCGGTGATGTGCTGTCCACAACTAAAGAATCATTGTGGAATCTGAAAAGACACTTATCCCGAAAGTATGGTTTACTTACTACGTGCACATGCTAAAAGAAAGGAACCAGGTGGGTAGATAACTAAGTGTTTCATTGTATCAAAGTATTTATAAAATAAAAATCAGATCTCTTCAACGTTTCGTTCATTTTTGTTATATTATATATACACAATAGGCCATCATTTATTTTGGCCCAATAGGCCTGGCATATTCCCATGTTCAAGGAGCTTTCCGTTTTGATTGGGTTATTTTGCCTAAAAACCTTCAGGCCTACCTATAGAAAAATAAAAAAACTCTGCATATCTGCCCAGCCTGGCAAGAGTGTCCAAACGGGTGTTTAGCATCCCCAGTGGCTCTGCAAGTGAGGAGAGGATATTCTCCGCTGTTAGCCTTCTCTCCAGGCACCATCGTATGAGCCTGAAGCCACAGACTGCCCAAACACGTGTTTCAAAGGCACTAATAAGTCATTTTTCGTTTAATTTGTATTTAATTCTAAGTAAGTCACAGCCTATATGCGCAATGTATAGGCTGTAATTATTTAATACAACGAAATGTTGTTTAAATACTGAACTCTTTATGTCCCTACCAGCCTATTGTGTCGCACTCGCAAATGCTTCACAGTGTATTTCTTTGTAGGCTATAGCCTTATAATAATAATAATAATAATAATAATAATAATAATAATAATAATAATAATAATATGCCATTTAGCAGACGCTTTTATCCAAAGCGACTTGCAGTCGTGCGTGCATACATTTTTGTGTATGGGTGGTCCCGGGGATCGAACCCACTACCTTGGCGTTACAAGCGCCGTGCTCTACCAGCTGAGCTACAGCTTGAAATAATATAAATAATATAGCCTAAATAATTAATTTTCATTTCTTCTTAGGCTCCCTTTCTGGAGCTTGACCTATTTAGAGTGTTTATGTGATGTTGAATATGATATTTAGCTTATTTGAAATGATTTTTTGATATATTTTTTTTAATTATGTGCGCTTCTTACATTCACCTTTTCATGTTTATTCAAATACTTTTCATTCAAATACATATGGTTTGGTTTCAATACTTAAAAAACAAATGGTAGGTCCAGGTAGTCACAAAAATAGATGGGTGTTGGTTAAATTGTGATTTTAATGAATGGAGCGAATTTGGAGTCGTTTTTTGTCTCCTGTGAGCAGGGAGCGGTTTTTAGTAGAGCGGTTGGAAAGAATGGTTGGAAAGGACATGGAGCACCAGAGCGGTGCGCAAGCACCACTCAATGAGCGATGAGTGGGATATCCAACTGCTCAACTCCACTCACATGCAAGTGTGATTCAACCGAGCTTGACTTTTTCCCCACCCATTCTTCATATCTCCAGTCTTCACTTTCTTTGTCATGATCTCAAACAAATAATCCATGAAAAACTATTGTGGACTTTATTGGGCATTTTTTCCAACTCACCAAAAAAGTATGCAATAAACTTTTTTGGAACAAGCCCCAATTTGTCCAATGAATAATAATTATAACCTGCCCAGAGAGAGTAAAACCAACTTACCCACAACAAAGAGTCCCACCAGAGCCATACATCCCCACATGAATTTGTTCATCTTGATCCAAGTAGAAGGACAAATATCAAAGTTCAATAGTGAGTATAATGAGGATTGGAATAATGCAACTCAGATAAGGCAAAATCAATCCAGAGTCCAAGTTGCAACTTAATGAAGTGTAGAGCTGTGTAGAATGAGGAGCACCAACTTCGGACACCCATTCATATGCTGAGGGTGTGGTGCTGATGGAGGTGATGAAAACAGGAGGTAAATGGGGTGTGACAGGTGCAACAGGGTCATATGACATCCATAAGATGTTGATGATTAGTATGAACGGAATGGCTGACATGGGTGGAAAAAAGTTCAATGGATGCTTACAGACCAATGGCAGGATAGAGAATCAAACAAAGAGAGTATGAGGTAATGTTTGTGACACCTGTACTTACCTAGAGACAAAGACAGAGGAGGAAGAGGAGGAGGAGGAGGGAGAGACAATCAGACAAAGACAGTCGGAAGACAGACAAACACGTGTGTGTGTGTAATAATAATACATTTAATTTGTGTAGCGCTTTTAATTACAGAGTTGCCTCAAAGCTTTAAAATGAGCATGCTTTTGTGGCACAGTTGATGCCGCACAGGGCTATGGACCAGAAGGTTGAGGGTTCGCTGACCACCGCAGGCTCACTCTCCCTGCCTATTTCATTACCAATGTAATGACCTCAATAGATCACAAATGAAATAATTAGAATCTCTAGAACAGACGATCTAGTTAAATAAACTTGTAATAATCACAACAATATGTGTCTCACTGTCAGGATATTATAGATCTAATTTCCTTCTCTGTCATACATGCATGCACCAGGCTTGGGATCAAGTACTATGTAAGATATTTCAATTACATTAAAATACATTTCGAAGGAACTATTTGGATATATTTTCTTTAAAAAAAATACAAGTACAATCTTAGAAAAGAAAGGTGCTATCTTCAACCTAAAAGGGTTCTTCCGCTCTCCCCATAGGAGAACCCTTTGAAGAACCCTTTTCTGGTTCTAGGTAGAACCCTTTTGGTTCCCAAAAAGGGTTCTCCTATGATGAAAGCCGAAGAACCCTTTTTTCTAAGAGCGTAGGTTAGTATTGTGGAGTAACTACAATGTTGTTAATCCATCCTCAGTTTTCTCCTGCCACAGCCATTAAACTATGTAACTGTTTTAAAGTCACCATTGGCCTACCTTCCTCTCCGGCAACTAAGTTAGGAAGGACGTCTGTATCTTTATAGTGACTGGGTGTATTGATACACCATTCAAAGTGTAATTAATAACTTCACCATGCTCAAGGGGATATTACATGTCTGCTTTTAATTTTTTTCCCATCTACCAGTAGGTGCCCTTCTTTGTGAGGCATTGGAAATCCTCTCTGGTCTTTGTGGTTGAATTTGTTTGAAATTCACTACTCGATTGAGGGACCTTACAGATAATTGTATGTGTGGGGTACAAAGATGAGGTAGTCATTCAAAAATCATGTTAAACACTATTATTGCACACAGAGTGAATCCATGCAACTTATTATGTTTCTTGTTAAGCAAAAATGTACTCCTGAACTTATTTATGCATGCCAAAGTAGTTGAATATTTGTTGACTCAGGACATTTCAGCTTTTCATTCTTTATTAATTATAACAATTTCGAAAAACATAATTCCACTTCAGCATTATGGGATATTGTGTGTAGGCCAGTGACCAAAAATCTCAATTTAATCAATTGAATCCCTTGCAGCCACTCAGTTGTCAACTTTTTGGGCAGAAAAAGTTTACGTCAATCCACTGTGGCAAAAAGACAAAGGGGAGCTGCTAAATTATGTAAATGTAAATGGGAGATGTGTACATTACCAAAAGTATGTGGACACCTGCTCGTCGAACATCTCATTCCAAAATCATGGGCATTAATATGGAGTTGGTCCCCCCTTTGCTGCTTTAACAGCCTCCACTCTTCTGGGAAGGTTTTCCACTAGATGTTGGAACATTGCTGCAGGGATTTGCTTCCATTCAGCCACAAGAGCATTAGTGAGGTTAGGCACTGATGTTGGGTGATTAGGCCTGTCTCGCAGTCAGCGTTCCAATTAATCCCAAAGGTGTTCAATGGGCTTGAGGTCAGGGCTCTGTGCAGGCCAGTCAAGTTCTTCCACACCGATCTCGTTAAACCATTTCTGTATGGACCTCGCTTTGTTCACAGGGGCATTGTCTTGCTGAAACAGGAAAGGGCCATCCACAAACTGTTACCACAAAGTTGGAAGCACAGAATCGTCTACATTTTACATTTTAGTCATTTAGCAGACGCTCTTATCCAGAGCGACTTACAGTTAGTGAATACATATTTTTTTATACTGGCCCCCCGTGGGAATCAAACCCACAACCCTGGCGTTGCAAACGCCATGCTCTATCAACATCACTGCCGGCCATTCCCTCCCCTACCCTGGACGACGCTGGGCCAATTGTGCGCCGCCCATGAGTCTCCCGGTCGCGGCCGGCTGCGACAGAGCCTGGATTCGAACCAGGATCTAGTGGCACAGTTAGCACTGCGATGCAGTGCCTTAGACCACTGCGCCACTCAGGAGTAGAGTGTCTAGAATGTCATTGTATGCTGTAGCGTTAAGATTTCCCTTCACTGGAACTAAGGGACCTAGCCCAAACCACGAAGGTAGCATTCTCCTGGCATCTGCCAAACCCAGATTCGTCCGTTGGACTGGCAGATGGTGAAGCGTGATTCATCACTCCAGAGAACGCGTTTCCACTGCTCCAGAGTCCAATGGCGGCAACTTTTACACCACTCCAGCCGACTCTTGGCATTGCGGATGGTGATCTTAGGCTTGTGTGTGGCTGCTCGGCCATGGAAACCCATTTCATGAAGCTCCCGACGAACAGTTCCTGTGCTGACGTTGCTTCCAGAGGCAGTTTGGAACTCGGTAGTGAGTGTTGCAACCGAGGACAGACAATTTTTACGCAATACGCACTTCAGCAGTCAGCGGTCCCGTTCTGTGAGCTTGTGTGGCCTACCACTTCGGGGCTGAGCTGTTATTGCTCCTAGACGTTTCCACTTCACAATAACAGCACTTACAGTTGACCGGGGCAGCTCTAGCAGGGCAGAGATTTATCGAACTGACTTGTTGGAAAGGTGGCATCCTATGCCGGTGCCACGTTGAAAGTCACTGAGCTCTTCAGTAAGGCCATTCTACTGCCAATGTTTGTCTGTGGAGATTGCATGGCTGTGTACACGATTTTATACACCTGTCAGCAATGGGTGTGGCTGAAATAGCCGAATCCACTAATTTGAAGGGGTGTCCACATACTTGTGTATATATAGTGTACAGTATATTGGCAACTGAACAGAGGAGCCATACATTTCATCACTACTGAGTGGAGATTCAGGAGTTTTCCTTTGTAGTCTAGGAGTACTTCCTGATTTCGCCATTTGTTTGGTCGAGTTTCTTTGTCTCCCTTGCGTTCTTGATTAGTGTAGGTAATCTTCTTTGATTCATGCCTTTTATTTCAATGCATTATCTAGTTTTAACCTCTGTTTTGTCCTGATTTTGGAACGTTATATTAGGGATAAATTATGATGCAATCAGCTATCTACCATGCCTTTCGAAAACACAAAAAAAAACTGGAAAATACAAAAAAATACAAAACACAGCGAAATATAAAGTGGCCTACCTGATGCTTCTTTTGAGCCTAAAATTAAGAAAATCGGTCCAACATTCTAGGAGGAGATAGCCCCGCAGCTTAGGATCCTTAGTGTAATATTTTTATAGATAGGCAATAGCCAAAGTCAACAGCTAATGCAAAAAACTAAAACAAACAAAAACACCTTTGCCATAAGACCATAAGTAGAAACCAAGAGTCCATTACATTATCAGTATGGAAAATGTATGCACTCACTAACTGTTAGTCATTCTGGATAAGAGCGTCTGCTAAATGACTAAAATGTAAATCTAAATATCCTTACAGAACAAATAAAGCCATTCAGTCTCTCTAATGGTTTACTGGTTTATTCAGCATTGGCATCTGCAACACAAAGATTTGTCACGCAACACATAATCAACTCTTATTTTGAAGGCCAGGTTTGGACAGGATATTCATTTAATGACTTATACAGGGCTATAGATTTAGCCCCACCCACATCACCAGTAATGAGAAATGGAAGCGATTCGTTATTTTCTGATAATGTGTGCTTTTTTGTTTTCGGCAATATGACATCTTCTAACTTGTAATTTCGGATTTAAACACATGAAAATGAAAATATATGAATTCATACAAGGAAATAGAACAATCCAGTAGTTGTTTCTTGCCCGATACCGTTATCAAATTATGAAATAAGTGGAAAAGTGGGAAATCAAAGCATTTAGCATTTTTAAAATGTTGGCTTTGAAATTGGCAAAAGAGAAAATAGGCATTTTTATTTTCGTTTTGGTATTGCCGAGATTAAAGGATACAGTAATTATTCCATAAACACATGGACCCATCTCTCATTCAATTTCCCATTATCTTTATTTTTGATTTTTTGGTGGGGGTAGGTCAGTTTTAATATTGCAGATAGATTGTAGCTTCCATCAATGTAATTGTCGGCATCATTTCCAATCCCCCATAATTTTTTTGTATATACAGTTGAAGTCGGAAGTTTACATACACTTAGTTGGAGCATTAAAACTCGTTTTTCAAACACTCCACAAATGTCTTGTAGGACATCTACTTTGTGCATGACACAAGTAATTTTTCAAAAAATTGTTTACAGACAGATTATTTCACTTACAATTCACTGTATCACAATTCCAGTGGCTCAGAAGTTTACATACACTAAGTTGACTGTTCCTTTAAACAGCTTGGAAAATTCCAGAAAACGATGTCATGGCTTTAGAAGCTTCTGATAGGCTAATTGACATCATTTGAGTCAATAGGTGTACCTGTGGATGTATTTCAAGGCCTACCTTCAAACTCAGAGCCTCTTTGCTTGACATCATAGGAAAATCTAAAGAAATCAGCCAAGACCTCAGAAAAGAAATTGTAGACCTCCACAAGTCTGGTTCATCCTTGGGAGCAATTTCCAAACGCCTGAAGGTACCACGTTCATCTGTACAAACAATAGTACGCAAGTATAAACACCATGGGACCACGCAACCGTCATACCGCTCAGGAAGGAGACGCGTTCTGTCTCCTAGAGATGAA